TATGTTCTTTATTTGTTTGCATATTTTGAGCAAATCTCTATTCATATATTTGAAATATGTTTTTATTTTCTGAAAAATAAAATTTTTATGAAGTCCATGTTTTTTTTTAAATTGAATTTCGAATTATTCTACTAAGACATAATGTAAAATAAGATAAAACTTAATTGATTGATTATCATTTAGCGTAATTATTCATTTCTAAAAAATGTTTTCGACGGTTTACTTCATTTGCCTCTTAGCCGTTTTACGCCGGTCATATGACCGGCGCAATTCGGCGTACGCCGATCAGTGACAAATGAAATTGGCCCCTTTAGTAAACACAGAAGATAAAAATTCCTATGAGTTCAAAAGAAAAAAAAGATATGTTTGTGAAACACTTCTGCCCCCATTGGACAGCTAAAAGAAGTTAAATTTCATCAAATGCATGTCTAGCTTAAAGGTTAAAAAGACAAATTTGTTGGCTTGGCATCAAGAGGAAGGTCATGTCACAAGGATTACACCTGTGAAATATGAAAACTCTACTAAATACCGGTATTCAAAAATTGTCGTCGATGTTTAAAATATTTACCAATGGGGCTAAATCTTAGGTCAAAATAAAAAAGTCAAAAATATTTATACCAATTGAAAGGCTTTGTCACAGTAAATATACATACATACACAATGAAGTATGAAGGCCCTAGTGCACCAACTGCCTGGTACTCAAAAGTTATTTTCATTGATAAAGTTTGGTATATTTTTGAAATAAGCGGATTAAACACCAATGTTAAGAGCTCAAATTTGCTAGTCCCTACGAAAGGTCTTGTCACAATTAATACATATATAAAATATAAAAACCATAGCCTCACATAGTCAAAAGTTATGGGCGAGATTAAAGTTGCTTGCAGACAAACAGACAGAAAGACGGACGCATGGGACAATAACTATATACCCCTAATCTTCGATTATGGAGGCATAAAACACATTAATAAGCCCCCCCCCCAAAAAAAAAACAGTAAATAATAATCATCATGCCTAAAATGCTATAATTATGAATTTTACTGATACATTGTATATAAAAGTTTCCTATACAAATCACCTGCAGCACCTTCCATCACAACAACCGTACCCACAGTAACGATAACTCTGCTCGGCTTCTATGTAACATATCGTCAGGCCGGGGTGGAGGATATCGCTTTCACTGTAACGATAAAAATCATGATTTAAAAAATCTTGAGGAAACTTAATGCAAAGGAAATTTGATAGGATGAATTGGTTCAAATTATTAACACATTTTGGTTATAAATTGAGCACGTTTCATATAACTAAAGTATCTAGATTTTTTTTTTCATAATCAAATTTCTTCTCTTGACATTACCCTCATAACATTTTCATTGCAGGTTAGCACAATCATTAAATCTTTACAATATATTACACAATGTATGTGTATTTTCACGATTAAAAGTTTTTTCTAAAATAAATTTACATGGACAAATCAATATGATGAAACATAGACACAAATTAAACTAGGCAAAGTAAAATTAAATGTTCATTATTATACAAATGAATAAAAAAACTGTGGAATCAGAACACAGTTTGAAATAGAAAAAAAATTATAAGAATAAATACACTCCCGTAATGTTCAACTTAATCATTGAATAAAAATTAAATTCTGAGTACATATCAAAATTTGAAAATCTTCATGAGTATATTGTGAATTCACTATATGAGAAAACAATATCTTATCAAATAGGACATAAACAACAAACAATCAATCAATGAAGAAAATCTTACTTGCAGCATCTTCCCACACAGCAACCTATTGGACAATGTCGGTAATCGTGGACTTCATTAATGTAGCAGAAAGTGGAATCAGGGTGTGGTGTGGTGACATCACTAGTGTAAACATTGAAGAAAAATGTATTACCTTAAATACTTAATATTGTTTAAAAAAGTCTTCTATTTCATATTAATAATGTTTCTTAATTGAAACATTTTTACCTCAAAAATCCATTTTCACATATTTGTGAATATCAATTAAAGAATGGATACCCGCGCCTTGTGGTGTCTTCATCTTTGGTTTCACTAACCTATTTCTTGTTGTAAATTGTCGACGGGTAGTAGTTCCATATTCACCTGGACTGAAATGTAAAGGAAAAACGGCAGGAAGTGAAAACTAAATTAATATTATATCATGACATATACATGGTGTATATCAATATCATATAATATAAAAAAAAGTCTTTTCTTCAATATGAAAATAGCTAAGTATTTAGTATGCTCTTAAAACGTCACACACCAAATGTGAGGAAAGGACAAATTTAAACAAGAGGACTTACACACAACAACGAACTTTCATGGTCCCACAGCAGCTGTGAGGACATCCATGAGAACACTTGTCTTCTATTGGCCCGGGGGACGGTGGGATTTCTCCTTCCCTGTAGAAAAAGATACTGATAGATTTTGTTTTTTTTCCCTCCGTAGAAAATATCGATGGTGTTTCTCCGTTCTGTTAAACACCATTGTTCAATCAATCATTGTACGATATACATAACCTTTGCTGCATTAAAACCCTTTCACTCAGAACAACAAGAGTATATTCAGAGAAGCGGTTTCACGTACCTACAGCATTGTCCTCCTTTCTCTCCACAACAACCATGCTCACAGTAAATAAAATCTGCAGGATACTTGCTGTTGTTAAAACATAGAGTGGAATCTGGCTTCGGTGTCAGTGTCCTTCAATTAATACACTCATTTGTAAGACTTCTTTTATAGAGAATGTTTAAGGAAAAGAAAGAAATGTCAAAAGCGTTGAATTTCTACTAGATTATGATTTTGTTTATTTTTATTGTTATTTCTGTAGGAACAATTTGAAAAATGAAGACTCAAAACTATTTTTTTTAAAATAGAAAAGAAAGAGAGAATTACAAAAGTATATATTTTAAACTTGAAATGTTCCATAAGTAAGAAGATTTTTTTGAAACGAAGTAAGCTATTGAAGAATAAATTGATGCAACAAGAATATTGACAATCTAATGTTAAGCCAATTCAATTGTTGTTCAAATGACCTTTGTATCATTGCGTTGAATACTGTCGTTACTGACGAAACTGTTAGAGCAAATATATTCACTATGAATTTTCTTCTGATTTTTTTTTCCGTTGGTCCTTCAAAACACATATTTGCTCTGCTCCAGTTTGTTTGTGTTTGTTTTGCTTTTCTTTATTTAAATTTTAAGCATGTTTTTTTTCTCTGTATATTTCTTGTAGATGTTTTTCAAAGACATGCTAGAATAGTCTCAATTCCTGCAAAATCGGTTTAAACATCTTGAATATATAGCATTGCTGTTGTAAATAGTAAGACAGATACTTAAATATATACCAGTTCTGCATTCTATTGAATGGAGATTCTTCTTGTCTGTAAAATTAGATAAAAAATCCGTTCAGGTGAAATGCAGGTAGTTTATTTTTTTTTTAAATATTTGTTTCATACAAAATTAAAAATAATGTTATGCATAGATTGCGCAAAATAAAAGATTTGAAATATATTTCGTGATGATAATTAAAACAACCTAATGGAATGAAAAATAAATACATATACGGGTGATTTTAAATCTTTTGCTTCTTGTACTTTCATAACAAATTGTACAGAAATTAACTTACGTGCAGCAACGTTCGTTCTGATTGCCTCGTTCACAGCATCCAGTGGGACAGTACAGATAATAACCGGTGCTATGATCCCAGCAGATCGTGCTGGTCCCAGGGGGAGGCGGTGATTCTCCACTCCTATGGGGATAGCAAAAAATGTCATATAAAATATGCAAACATTTAACAGTATTGTTCATCATATGCTGGATCTTTTAACTAAAAAAAGTCTTCCAAATTATGTCAATTGCATACGTACTCGCAACATCTGCCGGCGCAGCAGGGACCCGGACAAATCGCCGTCTCCAGTAAATCGTTGATGAAACATGTCTCTGCTGACACATGATCTGAAAATTTAAAAAACAAGGAAGTTTTTATTGTGAAAATAAACTCCGACTAGACCTTTAACGTTGAAATCCTGTAATTGACACTAATAGTTTAGTATCAATTTGATGCTTGCTGTACACTATTTCGAACAAGATCATATAGCATATCGATCGTGTTATATCGCAGTGTAAACAAAGAGCATTTTCACAGCCATCGATGCATAAGGAATCTTTTGTTTAAGCTATCTTGTATTCAAGTTATCTTGTAAAGATTTTTTTGTTAAAATAATGGCTCTATGATTAGATATGGCTTATCGCAGGGGATGGAAGTTCTACTAGATGTATAAAAAAAATGAAATGAAATTTACATTACAAAACAGGTACACAATGTTGATACATCAAAGATTTTCAAAATCAATAGACACTAAGTACAAAACTCTTCAGTTTATTTCCATTTTTATCCAATGAATTAACGTTACAGTGTTAAACGTACTTACCTGTGCAAACCAAAAGGTATATTAACATCAATATCGGCAATGTTTTCACCAAAGTCGCCATTTTAACTCCTTTACTGTTGATATTTTTAGAGTGAATATTTATCAAAAATACATGGTGTCCTTTTAAATCTTCTACCAAAACAATGTTATGGTGTGCTTTTTGTTGACTCGTTAAAGGTATACATTACCAGTGAAGCAGATAAGGATATATATTTTATTACGTTATTTGAAGGTAACCTGTGATTGCATTCTTAGCATGTGACCTAACTGGAGACATACTATTACGTGTAATTTAGGTCATACATCAGACATATAAAGATAAACATTTTACTTAAAGACAGATGATACAAACAAATTTTTGTCACAGAATTTAAAAAAAAAACAACTTGGGTCATGTTTAAATGAATAAAATGAATAACTTTTACCGCGTAGTTTTAAATTTATTGTTCAAACTTGTATAATCAAAGTACTGAGAAGTGCAGAGAGCCGGGCTTATTTACAGAGTAGAATGGATTTCTTACATGAATCACGTTTACATTCTGATGAAAAAATTATTTTAAAACTATCAGTATAAATGATAAGACACTGACAGTGAGTTTTTCAATCCTAATACCACTGTCCGATTTTGTCAGAATCAGAATTAATCTGGTACCGCAGCTGAATGTAAACAAACAGGCCATTTTTTCTCCTGCTTTACCTCGTATGTGTAGAGAACTACGGTAACACTGATTATCAAAAATCCTTACGCTATTGAACTATGTTCTTTGACTTATGAAGTTTTCAAAGTCATTAGCACTAATGTTTATTTTATATAGATAAAACTTCGTTTTATTTTTGTTGCTTTAGTTAACGTTTGTATTATCTCAAAAGCGGTTGAGAGTAAGAACTATATTTTTGCACGTAACTTTGAAATGGCGACTATGGGGTTAACATCCTGCCTTGAACAGGATCACATAAGCCGGCAATTGCTCTTTGAGCAATAAGCCCGGCTAAAAATGGAATTGAAATTGAAAAATATTTGTATAGATTAATAAGGATTGTTTCAGAAGGGCAGACTTTTGAACATCGCAGAAGGTCTACAATTTCTTTAAATTCTAGAGATTTATTATTTGCATCATTTGCAATGAAATTAGGCCAAAAAACATATACCAATTAAGGCACCCGTTTTTTGTACATGTATCATCTGTCAAAGCCTATAAAGATTTTCAAATGTTATATGAATCAAAAAGGTTGAATAAAATTTGTGCATTATTAATTTATCTTTAAATTTTTACACTTGATGACTATCTAGATTAAGGCAAACACACTGACTAAAGAAGATATACAATTACTTTGCGTATTATATATATGTGGAATGCTTCTTTTATGATAAGCGATGCATTTTACCTATATTATATCAACATTTATCTGAAAAAAGCGATTATGACTTCTTTAAATGCAGATAGTCACAGAGTGAAAAAATAGGGTTAAAATGTAAATTATTTAAGTACTTCAAACTATGTGGTGAGAGTGGATTTGCTAGGTTTTGTCAAACATTTTCGTTTAATTCAAGTTCATACAGTTTGTTGGTATCATCAGAGCGAAATGACTTTAGCCTTTGCATCCAGAAATTTCTTTGCTTTCTCTCTGAGCATAGGTCCTGTTTGGCTTATTGTCAATATCTACTACTGACATGTCTCCCGTTGTGACGTTCAAGGTTGAAATGCACCTAATTCAACTTGTTTATAGAATTTTCTTAAAATTTTGGCATTAATGTTCGATCGGAGATTAATTTATTGATTATCCTATGGATATTCATCGTTTTCTCAACATAATGTTTGGAACAAACCATACAGCTGTAGAGGTTATTTAGCTTGTAAGGGTGCTTACATAAAAGATATCTTCTGTCACTCAGAGAAAGTTTGAACCCCCTTTTAGGCTTTGGATTGTCCAACATCGTTCCTTCTGCCTTATCATTTAAGTCCCAAGAATGCCTATCTTGAGATTTTCAGTGCTAAAAGGTCCCTTATCTCGTCTTTTAATGTATTTTAAAATTGGCAGATTCTCTTTTCTAGAATACCATTGATGTTCATAAGGGATGAATGATACGTGGTAACCAGAAGGACTATGCCTCTATTCCCTTTCTCATTGTAATGATTAATGTTTTTGTGCCGTGTTTTCTTATCTCATCAGTCGTTATTAACCGGTATATTGTTTGACGTTATAATGAAATTAGCTTAACGTCAGACTGGTCCGTGCGCACCATCTGTGATCTTTAAAGACCCCAATTTTTACAAAAATATTACGTTCCATCAATAAAAATAAAATCATTCTAACTTCTTTTTTTCATAAGAAATATTTTGATAACAAAAGATTTATATAGAACCATTTATTTCCACAAAAATGTCATTGTCCCCCAACTTTTTGGATAACCCTCGTAGGCATAGATTGAAGACATTTTCCTTGTTTTGGCCAACTGTATAGGGTAACAAAGAATATAAGGAATCCTTTTGTGTAAACACTGTATAAGAATACCAACTGAAGCACATAATATATCATTTCTATGATCCATAACTCATAAATAGGCACTTTGTTGGCCGTTTTTCACTCTTGAACTACCTGTCCTTAATAGGTATCATAGGTTTAACCCACTTTGATCTGTTTTGTCCAGATACACGGATTCGAAATACCTGTACCTGATAGGAATTCAAAAATTAATTTTTGTCTAAGATTTTCTTCTAGGCACACTATGTTCTGCATAGATAATGACGTCATTAAGTTTACTTATCTCGAGCCCTATAAAATGACGATTGTTCTTACATTTCAAATTTTTATTTGATGTTGATACGAATCATTGTCCATAAGAAATAAATCTTAAGCTGCTCAGAAAATTACCAAATATCACTCACAAACTCTTTTTTTTCTTGGACTATTTCTGCATCAATAAGAAACTGTAATATACGAAAGCATACATTTACATTGTATATAATACATTATTTAATATTTGAAAATGTTGAAGGACCGCATGCAGCTTCTCAACAATTTTGTTTAATCCAAAAATATGTTACCTTTGCTGTTAATGTTCATATCCATTACTTTTAAAATTTTAATTGTTAACATAAAGCTTGACGCGTAATCGAAAAGAAAGAAACATTGCTATTAGTTACGGTAATCAACTGAAATAAACTGTTGTACAATTAATCACATATACCTATGTGTCATCATCAAATAGAATGAAAATTTCTTTGTATACCCGGTATTGTACATTAGGAAATGTTCATCTTCTACGTCATTATTTGCTTTCCAAGGTCGTTACACTCTTTGTTGCAAACATTTTTTTTTCTACTTTCAAGAAAGACTTAATTTGTGTTATGCTAGTTGATCCATTATTCACAATAGAAAAATGTTATTACTGTAAACCATAATTAATATCAGTAATCACGTGTATCTGCTATATTAATGCGTTAAAATCTATTTTTCAAAGGAACAAAGTGATACAGAAAATAAATATTTTATTGGCATATTTGGGCCCCTTTGAAGATTCTTATCTGTCAATTTTTCACACTCCTACAATCTTTTCCTAATTCTGTTAGAAGATATTATTCCAGTTGTTAATGTTAGTTATTTTCGCTGTATATTGGAAAAAACTTATTTTTCAACCATTAACTCCCGGTCATAAATACTTTTCAACAGCGTTTTATGTGATCTGTTGCAATTGATAGCTTTGATCTCGTATGATTATGAAAAACAATCCCTTTTCCTTTAACTCATCTATTTTTACTATTTTTTTTCTTCATCTAATTTTCTTTTTAGAAGTTATACTAAAAAGATGAAAAGGCTGTAAAAATATATTATATATAACAGTAGCAAGGAATAAGGGTCTGTGTCCTCATTGAAATTATTTCCATTGTTGGTTAACCAATGACCTATCTGCGTTTCTAAAATACTTTCCATAGATTAAGTATGATTTGTTTCTTCATAGTTAATTAAAATCTAATAGGTTTTCATACTTCTCACAAAAAACCAATAGCAGAAAGGAAAAAAAACATTCAAAATACTGTATAAAGATATATCATAATGTATAATGAACAGTGGTTTTAATTAGATGTAGATTCATTAAAAATCTCAAGGGAACTATGAAAAAAAATAATCACAAAAGTTTATTCAATTCCAACATTGAAACCTAATACTTTTCAATATTTTCAATAATACAAACATTCCCCATGATAAATTTATCATAAATAGCTTTTTTTTTTATCAAAATGAACTTCGTTAATTTACATGTCTGCTTTATACAACTTCTTGAATATATTGTTTACAATACTCCTGAAAATTCTCCTCAAGTGCTTTCAATATTTTAGTGATGGGGAGTATATAGAAATAAGTTTCGAAGAACATTTTCTTGAAAACCAATGCATAAAGTTTTTAAAGAATTGTTTTAGGAATCCGGTGAAAGTAAGTAACTCAAATTCATTTTGAGTGTTGAGAATATTAAAAAAATTTAATGCTGACAGTTGATTTTGAAGAATTAATCTTCAGATAGGAATTATCACATAAAAAATTAAATACTAATTTTTCTAAAATACAATTTAACAATAAGCCTTGCAAAGAAAGTGAATGTTGTTATCTACTATGGCAGCTGTGACCCGCACATACAATTTGTTCAATTATTTTTCAACTTCTAAATTATTACAGAAGGATAGATGGTTTTCTTATTGCCTCTAAATTGCTTGATGCAAGATTTAACATCCATCTGACGAAGTACAAAAGTACCGGTACACTGTTTCATATATGGCCATTCACCTGCAGTAATCCTCTGTGTAATACTTATGAAATTATGATGCTAGTTGTAAGAGCTGGGTTTCCCCAAATTCTGACCTTTTTAAAATAATTGAAATGAGGTCCTCATTATTAACTTTATTCATAACCAGTGATGATATGATGACAAGTGAATTACAATAGAATTAGAACTTGTAAGTTTACTTAAATTGTCATAGGTTATTTGCAATTTTATTTTTTTGAAGGATTCTGAATGTACACACAAGTACTCTGAAATTAATATTTTAAAAGTTGCTTGAGTTTCCGATTGATAAAATTTCTGCGGTTCTTGGAGACCCTATATTCCACTTATCTTTAGGAATTCCCATGATTACAAATGGCACCCAGTTATAAGTATACATAATTTTGCATTCACATCAAGCAGAATCCGTTCGTAGTCTTATTTGTGAAAAAGAAGAAAAAAAATTCTATGACTTTCAAGTCAACATTTAGAGGTATCGACGATTTTTTGTCAATTCACAATTGTTATTTGCATTCCTGTGTCGATACGATATATCCCGGTGAGTCTGAAATAAAAGTTACTACAAAGCGACGCGATTTTGATTTAAAAAAAAAAAAAGACATTAATGGTAATCTAACAACTAAACTTTCTGATAAACTAATGATTCTATTTTATCTTTTCAATCATCAACTGTTTTATTAATGCGGCCTTTATAATTAACCTGCATACGGTGTTTACCTCAAAAGATTAGATCTAGATACGCAAGAGCATATGCATCCTCTAACCATTCACAAAATGGAATTATATTTCTAAAACGACAAAAGCGGAAGGATTAAGGTAGATAGAAAAAAAAAACGATGCTATCTAATGCATATGTATAAAATATTATCATGCATAAGTTTGAATAGGCTCTATTCAAATTGTATTCGAACAAAATCCCTTGCGCAGCTAGTAATTCAACAAAAATTAACAAATTAAATATCAAATTGGACAAAACAATCTTCAGATGCATTTTTTTTTCTACGATTCAACAAAAAATGGAACTTCGCATACGTGCAATAAATTTGATGTTCCGCTTTGAATCTGGAGAGTAACTGCGTTTCCCCATGTATCGGCAGGGCATAGAAAGAGTATACGGTCTCCTTTTTCGGCTGGGCCTTGGTAATAACCGCATTCAGTTTCCTTTCCATCCTTGGCAACAGAAATAAGGAGATGGTGTAGCTCCCTACCTTTTGAAGAACAATATATTTTTTAGGTGAATAATGCTTTGAAAAGAATCTAACAATACAATATATTTAACTGAACGAAATAAGTGTATTTCAGTGTTTTCGTTGAGTTTCATTCTTTTACATGATAACGTTTTTCTTTTTACTTCATCAAATATATTAAAACAATATGAGCTGCATTTTTGAAAATTTATTTTTCTGTCAAAATGCGTTATAACTCAAACCGTTATGATCAATGGGACTGAAATTAAGCATTTAATTGTTTCAAAAGAAATACCTATACAATCAAATATGCAGTATTATGTAAGAAAACGTTATTGTACAGGAGAACAATAATGCCATTCTGATTCAATAAAAATATATATATAAATACTTCTTACATCGCAAATATAAGCAATGAAAGTTTACAAACATTCTTTTTTCTACCATTCCAATAGTTATTTACAATATTACAACCAAGAAGGATATGGAGATAACGAACAGTATTCAATCTCAACGTCCATTAAACAATATACAAAATAAGAGCAGAGCAAACACGGACCACCGAAACATCACAGGTGGGATCAGGTGCCATGGAGGAGTGAGCATTCCCTGCCGACCGGTCATACCCGCCGTGTGCTCGTTGTCATATCAGAAAATAACGGAAAAAATCCGTCGTCAATTCAGTGTATAAATAATGGACTAACAATTGGTATGAAAAACGTCAGTCAGCATTTGACTCAATGATAAATTGTATTTGCTGACAAGGTCATTGTATCGACCATAGAATTTACGAAATGATGACTTTAAACGAGACTGTTGATATTCTTGTTTCATCAACTTGCTTGTCAATAATTTACCTCGTTTAAGAAATTGTTCATATGTAGAGCACGCTCTTGCGTATCGAATCAACTGAGATATATATACTCCGTATGCAGGTGATGAAGGTATATTGCTGCATAAGTAAGGGAAGTTGACGATAGAAAAGTTAAAGTCATCACGTTTATCATATAGCTTGGTTGTTAGATTACCATTAGTGTCTTTTTCAAGTAAAATATCAAAGTATGAAGCAGAAGTGTCGGACTCTGTGGTATCTTTTATCTCAAGCTCACCAGGATATATCGTATCGACGTAGGAATGGAAATTTTCATTATTAATTGACAATACGTCGTCGATATATCTAAATGTCGAGTTGAAGGCCACAGCAAGTGTTTTCTTCTTTTCACGCATAAGATTTTGCATAAATTCTGCTTCATATGAATATAAAAATAAGTCTGCTAATAACGGAGCGCAATTTGTACCCATGGGAATTCCAATAGATTGTTGGAATACCTGGTCTCAAAAAACCACATAGATATTGTCAATCAGAAACTCAAGCATCTTCTTGATGTCAACTTCAGAGAACTTATGTGTGCAATCAGAATCTGTTTTAACAAAATAATTTTTCAAATGACCAATGACGAGGTAAGTAAATTTACGAGTTCCATTTTTGTTAAAGAAGCAGCTGTCAATCATATCAAAAAGCCTGGATTTTAATTTGTCGTGGGGAATCGTTGTGTATAAAGTTGAAAAGTCGTAAGTTTTTAAGCTGTTGATTTTTGTAAAGTCTTGTGATTTCAAATTGTCCAAAAGTTCTTTAGAATTTTTAAGTATCCACATCTGATTTACACCACTTCTTGAATATATAGTTGCACAGTACTCTTGAAGTTTTTCCTTCACTACTGTCAATATTTTAGTGAGAAGTAACGAAAGAGGCTTGGTTGAACATTTACTGGAACCTCCAATGTATCTTTGTTTGTAAGGATTCTTATGAAGTTTCGGAATCCAATATATATAAGGTAGTTCAAATTCATTTTGGCTCTGTGGAATATTAAAAGTATTCAAAACTGACAGGTGATTTTGAAGAATTTCTTCCTTTGGAAGGGAAGTATGAGTATAATTAGGATTACCACTTGTAAAATTAAATCCAAGTTCTTCTAGAATGCAATTCATATAATGAGCCTTACAAACGAAGACAATGTTGTTACCTGCTTTGTCGGCAGGAACCAGTACGTACTGATCGTGTAATCTATCTAATTCTTTTTTCACTTCAGGTTTATTGAATACAGAAGGATAGATGGTTTTCAAAGAATTCAAAGAATTCAATATCAAAGTTGCAGCTCGTATTGCTTTCATATTCTTACCACCATAATCCTGTCTATTGAACACCAGCACTTTATCAACATCAAATGTGCTTTGTAAGTCTATCTTTATCCAAGGGCGGCTTTCAAAATCTGTCATTCAAAAAATAGACTTTTTTTTGAAAATGACCCAATTATGAGCTGGAGAGACGTGATTTTGATTGAATGATTGTAGTTGTTTAACGTCCCTCTCAAGAATTTTTTACTCATATAGAGACGCCACCACTTGCCGGTGGAGAGCTGCAAATTTTGTCCTATACTCGGCACTTAGGGCCATTGAGCAGGGAGGGATTTTTTTGTGCCAGCACCTTCTGCGACACGGGACCTCGGTTTATACAGTCTCAACCACAGAACCGGTCTCCACGTCCCACAGTGGTATTTTGAAAACGAATATTTACACGGTGTTAGTAGCAAAGGTTGCCTACATATCGCCATAATATTCATGTATACAATCTGTAAATTGAATTCAAGTATTTTGATGGTGATTTAATCCTGTTTATTTTGTTTGAATAAGTCTTTCATGTAAACTATTGTTTGTTTTTCTATACAGGGTTTCATCTTTATGCTTGGGCTAAGTGAGCTTCCCTCGCCCTCTTTTTTTTCTATTTTTAAAAATCAAGACATACGAGTATGTACAACACTATTTTTACGGATATTGGAAACGTCTTGATAATGAAATCATTCAACTTTAAATTAGCCTACATCTTTTAACCTGAAATTGTCGTGTTTTTTTGTTTTTTCCGTTCTAATTGTGTATATATGTATTTTTTTTTGGTTGCTTTCACGAGATGAAACACATCCTTTAAGCCTGATTTAATGGTGGCTTATAGGTCCTTAATGGTGGTTTAATTGTTGTCTTTAAGTCACCATTAAGTCACCATTAAGCACCTTTAAGTAACATTTACACCACCATTAAGTTACCATTAAGCCATTTCAAAGTCCTTAATGGGTGCTTAAATGTAGCTTAATGGTAGCTTAATGGTGGCTTAAAGGTCCTTAAAGGTAGCTTTTACACCACCATTAAGTCACCATTAAGCTACCATTAAGCCACACTTACAGGTGCTTAATGTCCAAACTCAATTAAGCTACCATTAAGCTACTATTAAGCCACCATTAAGCCACCATTACGCAGTCGATAATACTGTTTTTATGGGTGAAAAATTATTTTTATAGTGAAATTTTATCACAAAATATAAATGTCGAGTTCACACATATCTTTATTTGGTAAAAATAAGGAAAAAGATCGAATTCAAAATTCAAAAAAAAATCGCCACAAGAACAGCGCGGACGCATGACCTTCCGATTCTGGGGCCATCGCCTTAACCACTAAGCTATCACCGATCTTAAATCTACTGTGAAAAACCGGTATTTAACCTTTATTTTTCACAAAATTTTTTGGGACTTGTAAAAGTTTTTATTTCGTTGAACGTTTCCAAAGTCTTGAATTGATTTATTAATCAAACTATAAACAGTTTTATTTATGGACCTTTTTAAAAGGCTTATATCATATTAATATTTCTAAACCGTTGAGTTCGGCATTTAGCATGTTTAAATTGTAATAAATTCTTTGCTCTGTTATCATCGTTATTCGAAGACTTATGAATACATGTAAGCATGAAGCATTAAATCATGATTGAAATGTAAATTAAATATAGACAAAACACAAAAAATCTATCATCGAGAAAGGAAGATGAAATATTTTTTAAGTATGCTGCGGATATTAACGCTTTTTTTGTCTAAAATTTAGTGACAATCCTCGTGTAAGAGTTATCTGGCTATGTTTACAAAAACATTTTTTTAGAATATCATATTCAGTTTAAATTTTTTTTGTATCATATGGGTATCAAAATAATTGTCCTTTTACAATGAATTATAATTTTTCATTTGTGATATGCTTGCGTTAAATTTAAATTTTGTAAAAGTAATTGATCATCAAAATCTGTCAGTGTACTTTGTGTATTTTGAAATAACAATCATTGAAGACCGACTAGATTTTGACAGATACTTACCGCTGCATTATATAATTTTAAAAATAACGAATTAATTCAAATTATTCATGATGTTAAAGTCAATCTTTGAAAACTAAACATTTTATACCGGTATCCCCCCCCCCCCTCCCCCCAAAAAAAAAATTTAAAAAAAGGAGAGAGATTTTTTTTTTTCATGATAACATGACTTTATATTCCTGTGAATTCTGTAGCGGAATGTTGCCTATAATACATGAAATAAAAATACAAGTATCTTTCCTTTTAAATAATATATATTTTGTGTTCATGGATAAAGATAATTTAAAAACAAATTGATTTTCGATAGTGAAAAATTAAAATATTTCACAGCGGCTTGCTCTCGGTGTGTAATATTATTATAATTATTTATTTTTTAAAACAAAAATCATATACACTAATAATAAAAACAAGGCATGTAATAATTATCTATTTTAAAAAATCATATACATGTACGGTAATGATAAAACATGTCTGTTTTATTATTACTGTAAACGATTTTTTAAAAATAATAATTAGACAGCGGGAGCAAGCCCCTGTGGCTATTAGCTAACTTTGTTCTCAGTGCCCGAGTTTATGCATGATGGCAAAAATGTTATATAGAAATGACGATCGAGACAAAATTATGAGTAGAAATATATTTTGTGCAAATGATATTGGAATAACTTAAAAAGTTATTTCAAAGATTCGATATAAATAAGATGCGTAAAAGTTTAATGAGGTTTGACCATTAAGTCAATTAAGCTCAGCTTAAAGGTGGCTTAATGGTAGCTTAATGGAGTTTGGACATCAAGCACCTGTAATTTGCAGCTTAATGGTGGCTTAATGGTGGCTTAAAGGAATTAACTTCTTTAAGCCACCATTAAGTCACCATTAAGCTACCATTAAGCGATTGCTTAAAGGTGGTCTTTCGTCTTGTGTTTGTAAGGCGGAAACAATAATATTGTAAATTTACGAATTGGAATTTAAATTTGAATTTAAATAGAACAAGATATAAAATCAAATGCAAATTAAAACAAAGATTTATTTTATGAACAAAACTTTTTTTTTCTATTTTGGTGCATGAATATGAATTAACTTAAACCGTTCTTTTGTTTGTTATTGTAATCTTATCCTTTCCTTCTTTCGATTTCTGCATAAGCTTTTATAAAACATTGACATAAAAAATCCTCATTTGTCGAATTTCATAAATTCTGGATGAAAGTTCCCATCTCACACAAAATTGGAGGACATCCACATCACCAACCCAGTGGTTCAAGTGGTCAACTTATTTAGTGTTAAAAGAAAGACCTTCTTTTGTCTCGCATCCAGAGTTTCTACTAATAAATCGAACGACTCGGACATATTAAGATGAGAAAAAAATATTATTTGAGAAATATATTATCTTATCATTCATTGTCATAGGATCAAAACTTTCTGCGCGTTATTCGAGCAGAAAACGTCAAAAACGATATGTGCGTTGAAGTGCGTGATTCCGGGGTATAGGGATATACGTTTAAATGCATGATTGCGAGGCAACGGTATATGCGTTAAAATGCGTGACTGTGTGGAAGGGGGTTAAGAAAATTAAACAGTGGGAAAAAAATGTTGGTTTGATTCACAATTTGTTTTTTGCAAACATTTCAATGGCAAACAGTCGCAGTTGAGTGTAAATATTGGTTCCAATACAATAAAAGTCAGGTAAAAAAAATGTTCAGGAATTTTATACGTACAAATACAATATTTTTCCTGTACACGCTAAGAAGAAAAGGCGATAATTATGATACGAAGATCTTCAAATGCGCTTGCGCGTTTGGAATTCAGGAGTGGTTCTGCAGTAAATCACTCTTCCTAATTTCATTTCAGAAAAAATCAGTAAAGATTAAACCAAGAAATCTCTATTTAACGCCACCGTAATCTGTAAATTTAAATTCAACTAAGACAGGAAAGCCATATGCTTATTTATTTATTGAAGTTTCGTACAACTGTACTTCACAGTTCCAAATAATAAAAAAAAAACTGGTCTCCAGAAATTTGGCTGGTTCTCATCGGAAATGTGTTCTACGCAGCGAAGCAGACAATTGTATTTATTCATTTCTCGAAGTGTTTGACGCGTCAGTTTAAGGTCTTTTGTAAAGTATGTTGATGGTATTTTACTTATGTATTTAAATTTACAGCATAAACATTGGTTAAATACCGATTTTCAAACTATTCAGCTTTTCCTGGTTTTATTTTCGTTTTCATTAAATCATTTCGATCCCGATGCAAATAAACGAAATGATTTGTTAAGGCATACAACGGTTATTTCGGGAAGAGACACAACTGGCTGAGCTTGTTCGTTTGTTGTTCCCTGCTGAAAGTGGAGGATATTAATTTCGACCCGTTTGTCCTTGCGTCCGTCTGTTTGTAGTTCTGTCTGTCTGCAACATTTTCATTTCCCTACCTTTGAGCTTTTGCAGTGAAAATTCTATACAACTCACTATGGCCTATGGAAGACTCCTCTTGATTTTGAGGTCAAAAGGTCAAGGTAATAAATTTAAAATGTTGTCTGATTTAAAGCTTTGTTTCAGCGCAATATTTTTATAAGCTTTTTGGCTTTTGAAATGAAATTTTTGTACAACAACTACCTTTGGCGAAAGGAAGACCCCTATTTATTTTGAGGTTCGCAGTCAAGGTCATAAATTCATAACTCCGTGTGACTGTGTGCAAAACTTTCATTTCCAGTCAATACATAAGGAAACTTTTGAGTTTTTACAATTAAATTTTATCCATAATTCCTCTTGGTCCCGTCCGCTTTTCTTGAAGTGTACCCCTAGATCTGCGCCTGAGTAGGATTTTTTGGAATTTATAGTTTTGTTACGTTATAGAGGTCTGATCTATGAATTTGTAAACCTTAATTAGTTTTGTTTATTTTGTCTCAATTCTACTATTTTCACATTTAAAGTTAATATTCAGCTAGCTAGTTCAAATTAGGATAGTTAACAAACTAAAAAAAAAGTCCAATGCAGAGATTAAGCTAAACAAAGCTTTCATGTTACATGGGACCTGTTTGCATGAAATTTTTCTATTTTAGTGTACTGGGTATTTCAGTCAATCTAATTAAAATTAGATGTAAGATCCGCTCGCATACTCGCTACACTGGCAGCAAGCATGATAGCGGATCTAACATCTAATTTTAATGAGATTGTATTTCAGTGGTCCTTTGGTATTTTCAATTAATGGTTCAGTATGGCTGTTACAGAATCGCAGGGACAATGGAGTCTCCGTTGTCTAAACACAATAGCCCTGAGTAACAAACACTAACAAGGTGATAGTGAAGTTTATAAATTCCCGTTTGGTGACCGTGGGATTGTTAAAACTGCCATAATGTGCCCCCCTCCCTCATAAAATCCTATAAAATCCTATAATGAGATTGATAAACTACTTCATGGAATTATGTTTTGTGAATTTGAACTTAAATTTATATTAAATTTTATGTTCTTTTGTTTACGAGACAAAAATGCAATAAAATCTGCATGCAACAACGCTTCTGTTCCTCTGCGGAAAAACGATATTTTTTAAAGTAGCCAAATCTGCTAATAATAAAACGAATGTTGAAAGCATTTTTTTTCAGTTCCCTTTTATTTTTTTTAAAGAGGAGAAAAATCCACTGGCTGAAAGCTAAACTTGTTGTGTCTTTTTTTCATGTTTTATCCAACCAACATTTTCCTAATTATTTTAGAAACTTTAGTTTGATTATGAGCAAACTAAACAGAGAACATATTGGACCAAAAAAATATAATTCAAGAAGATTAATAGACAAGCATTAGGCGAAACGACATTTTGTATAGGAATATATAAAAAGAAATGCCTACTTAGAATTGGTAATGAATATTTGTACATACTATTGGTGCTTTGTTTTTCCACCTGTATAAAATAAAATAATTAATATCTTACTATAAAACTATTCAAGTATATTTTGTTGGATTTAAAATTTAATATAAATGACATTTATTAACTAAGATAAATTTTCTAAAAAGATCGTTCATTTTGAAATTTCTTTAACAACAGAAAAGTACATACCGTCCTTAAATATCTGCAGTTTGTCACATTTTCATTTGAATTTTCCGTCCCAATTATTTTCCAAGCGCAACACGCTCTGCATTGAAAAAGATTATCCTGAACCTTGCAGATTTCCAATCCAATGCACCGACGGTAACCATTACATTTGTATATACAGCTTATCAGAACTGAAGCCAAACTATCCCCATGTGTAGTAATCATTAGAGGGCTTACATTATCTGACAAAGATCCCCAAAACTGGAGGAGAGAACTGTTCCTGATATATGTTGGCATAAATATGTAAAAATAAAATTAGTATCCAAAATATTTTACTAAAAATGGAAATCCAAACCGACATTTTTTTCATGAACATCGGAGTATTACAAATGTTCTTGTTCTTATATGCTTGACAGCAACTCTCGCTCATTTCTAAGGCAATCTTAATTGATAAATTGATAATTCAGGCTTCTATGACGTAATAGATGACACAGTTGACATTTTTTTTTTGCACAATCAATGAACTAATACATGTAAGTCTTTTTCTATCATTACCTCCAAAAACGCTGATGCCAAAGGTGCGTAAATACCGTATAACTGGTTTTTAATGCGGGTGCAAATTTTTGCGATTTGATCCTGAAATAGGTATATTTATTTTTTGCGATTTTAATTTTTGCGATTTCACTTTGACAATAAAGTCTATTTTTATTGAATTTTATTACATGTACTAGACATTTAAACAATAAAGTCAATTTTTGTTTTTTATTGAACAAACCAAAGCAATTTAAAATACAGGTGACTCTCGATGGCTTGAACTCCGATCTCTCGAAGTGAACCTCCGGTCCCGTTTTTTTCCTCTATATAACTAAGCAAATTTACTCCTGATCTCTCGAACCTCTATCTCTCGAACCAAATTCTGGGTCCCGTTACACATATTTCATTGAATTTTACTCTCTATCTCTCGAAGTTTTGATTGCGCTTGTATACACGCCAATCAAGCGTAAAATAGATGCAGTCTGGACTTACCTGAAAACAGTGAAGGCCTTGGACTGTTAATTGGGTGTTTACATAGATGACACTACACCTGTGGGTCGTCTGTGTGTTGTTATAATTAATGGGTTATTATTCACAGGGTAAATTAGAAACAGCCACAGTTATTTTGAATTGAAACCGAGACGATAATTCTTTGAAATTAATTTATAGAAGTTCGTTTCAGTAAGTTCCCATAGACTATGAACTTTCATTTATGATTATAAAGAGTTTATATAATCCCAGTAAGGGAAATATTACACAAGAAATTCTTTTCTCAAGGACAGAATACCGATTAAGAAAAATCTAGTAAACACTGGAATAGCCAAACGGAAAATTGCTATTCGGGTTTCATATAAATAAATCATGAAATACAATATAGCAACAAATAAATATTGCATCTTTAGGAATTCGTTTTATTTATTCGAAAAACAATCATTGTTGTTGATATCAAGTAAATTACCTGTAAAATACGATTGAAAACGTTCAATGGCATTATTTACATATACTTCCGGTATCTGTAAAAGTAGAACTTCGATGATCGCAACTGAAAATTCCGGATTTTATTTACGTGTTTTTTGCGATTGAATTTTTTGCGATTAAGACTTGATCGCAGAATTTCGCAAAAAATAGCACCCCGTAGAAAAATCCAGTTATACGGTATATCGTTTAAGAAAAAAACAATATGGGGATAAAGTTTAAGGTGTTTAGGAGAGTCTACAAAAATCATGTTTCTTTAGGCCAGGTCAAGAAAAGAAGTCTAGATACGTGTAAAAAGTTTGATATTAGTTGTAAGCTCTCTGATAAACAACAATCAAGGTTGGAAATGACTGACGCATTTAAAAAGTTCTTTGTAAACTATAATTACCAAAATTTAAGTGATAAACTAGGAGATTTTGTTCACCCGCGCTGATAGAATGTTAAAATCAATTGTAACCTGCATGATTCGAACAGACATATACCATGGAAGAGGTACGTTTACTATTTTAAACCAAGGTTTAAAAATAGATAATAAAAATTAGACAATATTTATCGATAGGAACTGTTAATTTACTCAAGCTTATGGAGAAATTAAATGAAAACCTTTACGATTGTTAATAAAAGACTTAGATTGACATGTGTGCCAAAAATTATCCATCGTTCTTTTTCATTTATTTAGTGAAATTCCAACAGTACGATCATATGGCGTTAACGTCTCCCTATTCACTAGATATGCGATACCCAAAAGGATATATTTAGTATAATCGATGCTTAAACCGAAGCTGGCTACTTACAGAAAAGTTGATGTTACACGGAATTTAACAATCTTCTTTAAAGTTAAGTATATGGTCTTTAAGTATCATTGATTGCCAATCAACAGGGCCTTGGGTCATTTATCGGCTGACATGATTAACACTGATTTTAGGCCTTGGTTTTTACACGATGTTCCAGTTACCTGATCAATACACGGGGCCCATATCGGGTGTAACCAGTACTCTTCCTTTAACATGATCCCACTAATGGTCTGTGCTTTTGCCTTCTTCGAAACTTTCTGGTGTTTATGGGTGTTTAAAAATCGATTACAGTTTGCTATATTTACCCTTTTCATTTTCATTTTTGTCTGATATACGTTTGAAAATAAAAGTTTGTTATATAAGGAATATTTTTGATTGTATTTATTGATTACGCTTCAATGCGTGTGTTTAATTTGTTAAAGTCTACAAACTCCAGAGAGCACAGATCGACTGACAATACTGGTGAGTTGGTTTAGCTTTCTTGCATTTCTACTCAGAGTTTTCTGGATTATTTTCAAGATTATACTTTTAAAGGTACTTGGACACAGATTTGAAGTTAATATTTTCTGTATAATATCATGAATTATATATTTTAAAAGCATTTCACACAAAAATTAATTAAAAATCTTTTTTCTTTTAAAAGTTATTAAAACTTCAAATTTTTTTGCGGGTTTGATTGACACATCTTTGCACCTTCACAAATTTTAACTTTATTCTTAATCCTTCGGAAAAGTGGCATCTTTTTGTGTATAAATGAGAAATATTAAAACTGTAATCCAGAAAAATAATTTTTTTCAGAGTAGAAATGTTACAAAGCAAAATTCCTTCACAAGTATTGTCATTCCGAACTAAATCTTGTGTGCAAATCAATCACACTCGTGTTATGTACACAGTTTTTGTAAACAGGGCAGGAGCTCTGTTATTGTTGATTGTTTACAATTCACCGAGTGCGTTCAGCCCTCAAAGTGTGCTCACCACAACTGCACGGACTGAGAATATATCGTGTGTTTGTTTTGCTTTCGAACATGTCTACTCTGATTTTTCTGGATTATACTATTACTATTTTTCATTTATACACAACAAGATTGCCACTTTCCCTAAGTATTAAGAGTAAACTTTAAAATTTGTGAAAGTGCAAGGATGTGTCAATCAAACCCGCCAAAAAATTTAAAGTTTTAATAACTTTTAAATGAAATTAAAATAAATTTTTGTGTGAAATGCTATTAAAATATATAAGTCGTAATATTATACAGAAAAAATTACCCCCAAATCCTTGTCCAAGTACCTTTAATATTTCTCATAAAAACACTACATTATTTCTATATTTCTTAATTATTAAGGATTAAGTTTACTATGTGAAAGGGCAAGGATGTTTCAATCAGAATTCGTTATTTCGATAACTTCCAGATAAAATGTCTATTGTTATATTTCCGTAGAAAATAGTACAGCAATATATAAGTCATGATATCATAAAGAAATCTGAGAAAATATTTTAAAGCTTCTGCGTCTGTGTCCCTTTCATGATTTGTTTTCATTACAAATCACAGCTTTTATTTAGAAACAACTATCTCTATCAAACAAAAGAAAATATCTGAATGACACTGTGATTTTTATTTGCTTTTTTTCTATATTTTTAATCAAACAACAAAACATTTTAATATTTAAGTTGAATAGAAAGTGGTACAAAATATCTAAAATTTATAAATAAATCATATGAAATTTTTGAATGTGCATCATGAAAAACTTCAATTTAGAAGTTGTTATCAAGCCAATGGTTTATTTTTATGTTAATAGCTGCTTATGCTTTTGTTTTAGTGAAGGAATGAGGATGTTATACATGCACATGCAGAATAAAAAAAAGATAGTAGAATGGAAATGTTGTATTATAGTTATGTTTATAAATATATAAACCCAGATAGCATGACTATGTTGGGCCAACGTTGGTAAATGGTTGTATTGTTGGCTTGTGGTTGGCGTTGGGCATTTAACGTTGGTCCAACGTTGGGCCAATGCCGATAGGGTGCTTTTCTATTTTGATCACATGTAAGTTGGAAAGACAATGTTGGCCCAACAATGGCGCTATGTAATAAAAGTGAGCTTTCCTGTATTTTTTAACGTTGGGAATAGCTGCATTGAACCAACGTTGGCCCAACGTTTTAAATTTGCCCTTATCCATAGTGACTAAGATCATTCGGTATACAACCATTGTCCAACGACGACCCTTCATGTGCAGAATATGCTATAATTAAGTTTTCTGCATGTTGGGCTCAACACACTGGGCCAATGTTGGCCCAACGTATATGTAATATATCTAAATGATGGTGTTTAAAGAATAGTTAAAATATAACGTTGGCCCAAAATTAGCCCTACTAAGCAATAAGCGCTTTACTACAGTTTCTATACTGACGTTGGAATACTACATTTACCAACGTTGGCCCAACGTTGATATGAAAAAAAAAGAATGTAGAAAAAAATTTAGTATTAGCCCAGCCGGTAGGCCGATCCAGCCGGGGATCGGTGGGGGTATATGATCTAGGGATTTAAGCGTTTTTGAATTTACATTTACCCTAAACATGCTTAAACTGCAGTTGGCAGAAAAAATCGAGTACATGAAATATTTTTTATTTTCTTTCTCTCTTTTTGTTCTTTTTCTTTATTTTGGTTTCATTTTTGTGTTTGTTTTTAGTTTGTGTTTATTTTTTACCACTTAATGTTCAATCAACAATTTACAGAATCGTAGGAACATCGATTACATAATTGCGCTAAAGTGCTGGTTTTAGGGGGACATATTCTGAGATAAGAGCAAAATTCACTGTTTAAGAAATAAGGTCAACATCACCATTGCTTCTCACAGCAGGAGACTGGCCAGTTTCCTCGGTTACTGCGGAATCTGATATATCAGGATGGTCAGCACGTGTAATTATTTCGCATTTGAGCAGCTTGGTGCACACGTATATATTTGTGAGAACAAAGAAATTTGGATATACTGCTTCGCTAGACAATACGCTGTATATGTAAGTACATATATTTTATAATTTGCTTTGATTTTGACACCAAACTTTACAGTCCAATGTTTGCTATCTGCCTTTTTATACAGACATCGTACACACATGCACATTATAATGTTTAAGTTCAAACACAAAAGATCGCGGTGAAAGTTTTGACTTCAAACTTTTAAGTTATATAGACAATTTATGTGTTAGCATTTACTTTTAGGTAAAGAATTTATGCACAACTGGAGGAGAAAACTATATGTCTACTAATTATAACTATAAATCATAACTATATGTCTACTAATTTGTTACTTTTAAGGACTGTCCAAAAAAAAAGCTAATTGCGGCAGCGACAGACAGCGAAATTTGCGCCATTGTTAAAGATTGAATTCACTCTGCCAGTGACCGGGAAGTGGGACGGAAAATAAGGGAAGAGAGGAAGAGGATAGATGAAGAGAAGAAGAAAAAGAATGAAAAAGGAGGAGAAAGTGCAATAGACACTGAGTAAATGAAAGAAAACAAATGAAAACTTTATTTAAATTAATAATATGAAGGATTGCTTGACATTTAATTCTAATTATAATAGTTTTAAAAATACAAAAACATCAATGATTAAAATCAACAGCCAATACATGGATTTTTTTATTTTCTTATCAGAATATTCCTGAAAAAATCATGTAATTCAAGAAAGAATATTTTGAATGTCATTCCGAAATTCACATAAAATAGAATAATGCGAACTGTGTTGTGGATGACGTGAATATACATGTATTTTACTCTGATTGTCTGCAAATGACATTTTTTTTATTCTTTGTAAATCAAATGTTAGTCATGCATTGGGTAATCAATTTAATTTTACCACCGTGTTGGACCATTGTAGGCCCTACACTTTCCTAGCCATTATTGTTGACCCAATGTTGGCCCTACACTTACTCCGTAAGCTGTTTATTGTTGGCCAAATGTTGGCCACTATTCTTAAGTAGCTATTTATGGTTGGCCCAACGTTAGCCCTTCACTTACAATGCTATAAAGTATGTTGGCATAATGTTAATATTGCGATAATATATTAACTTTACATCACTGGTGTTGGCCCAACATTGGCCCTTCTATAACATGCAATGTACTAAGTTGGTCTAATGTTGGCCCTACGATTACAATAATACATTAGAACGTTGGCCCAACATCGCCCCAACATGTTGGGCCAACAAAGGGCCACAGTGCACTTAGACATTGCGCCAACGTTGGCTGCCAACGTCGGCCCAACAAAGTGTGTTACATTGGGCCAACATTGTCCCAACGTAGTCATGCTATCTGGGAAGTAATTAAAATGTAATAAAAAAGTAATTTCAACTACAATGTAATTAAAAAAATGTTACGATTACAAGCAAACGTAAAATGTTCAAATAAAGACTTTTCTCTATTTACTTTGGAACATATCATTAATTACGCTCAACAACAATTACATTTTTTCAATACCCCATCCAGATCCTTCTGATAATTGCACATATACTTGTAATTCACACACGCATAAAATATCTTCTTCTCCCTCTGCACTTTGGATCATGAGTTTTACGTATCTGCCTACACTTCCGGAAGGGCAGAGAAAAAGTATACGGTCTCCTCTAGCGGCAGGTCCTTTGAAGAATCCACAGTGGTTTCCATCCACTGTAATGAGTAAATCGTGCAGTCTCAATCCTAAAAAGTATGGGGTTTATATATATAGAAGTAAAATGAAAAACTGTTCATATTTGGAAAATCATCAGTAAATAGATATCAGAAGAAGAATGAGAGTAAAATTAAGTCTGCTAGATAAATATTAGCAGACTCATGCATTTATAGTAACACAAACAGAATGATTTGTAATTGAAATACAGTGGATGAAAATTGGATATTAAATTTTAGATATCACATGCTTCACTCAATTTTGGACGAAATGACTTTTTGTAAAGAAATATAAATTTGAGTCTTTATTCATTAATATATTAAAACATAATTATTCATACTGTTAATACCATTGATCGACATATCTACAGTTTTGAGTATCTGTTTCATATCAAACATAACAATTTGTAACTATCTTTTTACTATTATGATGGCCTTTTTGCACTTAGAATTAAAGACTTAATATCAAAAAAGGGGCTAGAGGAACACTTAAAAAAATTTGATGTTTATCTTCAAACATGTACCAAAAATAAATAAAATCAATGACATGCGATGTACCACCCATTGCCTGGTTTTTCGGTGGACTGCCTCTTAAGGTTCATTGATACTCTGGTAAGAGAGAGATAACTCTTATTTAATGGCATGACTATTATTCCTTTATAGATTTGTCAAGTTCAGATGCCTTTTTTTGTTAAATTTTCTCCCGCAAGCTATGATATAATTTTTCATATTTTACTTACAAAATACATTTCTTTCGGAAAATCATTCAAGTTAAAGCAACATTTTTTTATGAGTGATCAGAGGATTTAAGAACCTTATTAGAATATTAAGAGCATTTACCAAAGGCATCTTGCCTGTTGTAGGCAAGCACTTCAGCAACATCGAACACGTCCTGCAAGTCTATTTTTATCCAAGGCGAAAACTCTCTCTTGGTGTGTGCAGTGGACAACCCATCCGTACAGACAGTGACGTCATCTACAGCATTTGAAGCGTGTTGGTAGCTTGGGTTATATATCGATATCATACTAGCTGATTTATTGACAGCGACTGTAAAACAAAGGTAAATGAGTATTGATAGTTCTTATTTTTAGGGTATCATATATTTTGAAAATTTTTCATTCAATTAACTTCATTCCCAACAAATGAAAATCTCTTTGATGATATACATGTAATATAGAGTAAGGTTATAAAAACAATTTAAAAAAAAAAACACAGAACAATAATATTTTTTGTAATTAATAAATAATTTTTATAAATATGTGAAAAAGACAATGACTCTCAAATATGTTTCTTTATCATCACAGATATACCTGTACAATGTATGTATAAATAAAGTTACATATTATTTATTTGGGATTTGCATTATCAAAATGCTTTTATTCTCACTTGTTTTCCGTTATTTTGATAATGCTATATATATAAGAAATAAGTTTCCTTAATTATTTTAACCTATATACCGGTTTATCTAGATCAAACACCTTAAGAAAGGTTATATAAATTTGATGTATGGGTTTAAAAAAAAATAACCAAAAATGTTATATGAAATTTGAATAAAGTATGCAAATATGTAGGCTTAGAGTATCTTATATGCCAAAGTTTTAAGTAAACTTTGAGCATAAAATATTTCTCCTCTTACTCATATTAGTGATTTGTTACTCATTTTAATTTATAAATTTAATTCAGATAAAATATTCACAGAAGATAAAATATAATTTATAAATTTAATTCAGATAAATATTCATAGAAGATACAACAATTGAATCAAAACATAATTGTTTATATTTTACTTATAAAATACATTTCTTTCGGAAAATCATTAAAGTTAAAGCAAAATATATTTATGAGTGATCATAATATAATATCATAAAATATAATTTTATAAGTCGTGTTGATATCGAAGGATATTCAGATGTTGAAAAGTGACTTTCTATTTATAATTTCTATAGGACATATACATGTATATCGTTTTTTGCTAGGTAAAAGTTTTCTTTACAAACAAACAGACATAGAGAATCTACTGTTGTATTTACATTATGAAAAAAATAATTGAATAGAATAATACTTTTTTTTTTACTGCATAGTTTTATAACTGTAGGTTTACGCAAGGAAATTTTATTACATAAACAGAATTTCTTTATAACAAAATTTACCCTTTTAATCTTAAGCATTTATATGACTTTTCTTCAGTTAATTGAACGAAAATTAACAACACATGGAACTTACCGTTACTTTTTTCAGCATTTTCTACGTCTATCTACAGGTAGATAAAATGTTATTTAGTAGGTTATATGCTTATAAATAATTAAAACAAGATGTGTTTGTGAAACAATGATGCCCCCGTATGGCAACATAGCGAATGTTAAGCTTTCTAAAATGCAGATCAAATATGTTGGTACCTAAAGTAAGGCCTTTTCACAAGAAATACATATGTGAAATATAAAACTCAAGCACCACCTGTTCAAAGGTTATGACCAAGGTTAACGTTTTTCAAGGTACGAAAAAAACTCCGTGGTCAAGGTCAAAGGGTAAAGGTTTTTGGTTTCTAAATAAAGACTTTTTCTCAAAGATTACATATGTGAAGAATTAAATCTCTAGCCCTTACCTTTCAAAAGTTATAGCCAAGGTTAAAGTTTTTTAATAAGTACGAAAATGTCCAAGTCAAGGCCAAAAGGTCAAGGTTGTTGGTATCCAATGAAAGGTCTTTCCACAAAAAATACATTTTTGAGGTATGACAGTCCTGGTTTTAGTGTTCAAAAGATATGGCCGAAGTAAAATTTTGGAATTTTTGTGTGAAAGTGGGACAAACTCCAAGGTCAAGGTAAAAAGGTCAAATTTGGTGGCACCCAAAGAAAGGTCTTGTCACAAGGAATACACATGTGAAATATGAGAGTCATAGCTTCCCTTAATCAAAAGTTATGGGCAAGGTTAAAGTTTTTGCGGAAAAACAGACAGCTAGACAGACAGACAAACAGCTAGACGGACGGACACAACAAAAATTATATACCCCCGAAACTTAGTTTACGGAGCATTAAAATTATCAAAATAAAACAATACCCAAAGTGTATTTTTTTAACAACAGACCAATTTTTTCAATAAAAAATATAAAATAAATATTTTGACGTTATAAAATCTTAATCCTTTAATATGATATTAATAAAATCAGTTAAAAATATTGACTCTGAAGTGTGCAGATAATGAGTAGAATTCTTGCACGAAAGTCCAATAAACATTATATTACAGAAGCAGAGCAAACACGGACCTTTTGGAAATAAGGGGTTGGATCAGGTGCCAAATATTCTTGTTCTTAAAGATAATTATGCTTGAAGACTTATTTGAGATATCAATAAAACCTTCTTGAAGTTGAGACTTCCGTCACCTTCTTTTGGAAAGCTAAAGGCCACATTTTCCGTTTACTAGTCAACAATATGTTTGTATTTTACTGAAGAAAAATACTAAGCTGTGGTTTTCATTATATTTATAATGTAAATCAATTCACTAAGTGCATATTTATCATGTACTTATCAGACAAGTGAAGTCGAAAAAATAGACACCACGGAGTCTGACAAGTCATGCATTAAACATATGGAGATAACGAACAGTATTCAAGATCAAATATCCATAAAACAGTACAAAATATTAGCAGAGCAAAACAGACCTCCAGTACATCAGAGGTGGGATCAGATGTCATAGGGAAGTGAGCCGACCGGTCACATCCGCCGTGTGCTTGTTGTTGTGATTGGGGAAATAATGCGAAAATCCGTCGTCAGTTTAGTGTATAAAATAATGGACAAACAATAAGTATTAAAAACGTCAGTCATCATTTCTCTCTGACTAAACGAGACTGTTGATATTCTTGTTTCATCAACTTGTTTGTCAATAATTTACCTCGCTTTAGAAATTGTTCATACATAGAATATGCTCTTGCAAATCGAAACAACTAAGATATATAAATTCCGTATACAGGTGATGAAGGTATTGGCGGTGTATAATATAAGTAAGCTTAAGGGATGACGAATGAAGAGTTAAAGTCATCATGTTTATTATAGAGCTTGATTGTTAAATTAACATTAACGTCTTTTTCAAGTAAAATATCAGACTTTGTGACATCTTTAACCTTAAGCTTACCAGAATATATCGTATCGTTTTTGGTTCATATGAATATGAGACATAATTGAAAAACGAAGATAATTGCGCAGCAAATGAGATAACCTTTTCAATGCTGGTGTAAAGACGAATAATGACCCCTATAGAATAATGACGTTGAAAATGACCTCTGGTCATTATTCTATGTCGAAAAATGACCCCCGGTCATTATTCGACATCGAAAAATGACCCTTTTGCCTGTAGAAAAAGTGGCATCACCCTAAAAATTTGCATATCCCACGTGTAGAAATATGAACCCCGTAGAATAATGATCCCTTGTGAATTAAGTTGTATTTTGAATGGGGCAAAAAATAAATAAAAAGAACTATTAGCCGAAATGCCCAACTGAGCTATAAATGGACGATTTGTTGATTTTATCAAAAAATACAATTTTGGCAATTTAAGGTCAATGTGATGATTCAGAATCTATATAGAGTTTAAGATTTATCGAGCCCAAAGGTCTAGGTCCGGTGAATATTGTTTTTTTGATGGTGGAAAAATCATCGTACCAACAGAAAAATGCAAAATAATATAACCGGTAGAAATACACAAGTCGGTACTTCGTTTAATAATTTATTAACGGTCCAAACTTGGTGTTTACTACACGATCGGTATGTCGGCGTGGACAGTGCAAGGTCCAGTTTCCAACTGAAGATCATGTATTAAACAACCAATTTATAACAATGATTAAGTAAACAATTACAATGAAGAGTTACTCTAAGCAAAATGATATAATTGACATAATTAAGATAATTGAATAATAATTAAAACTTTAACTCAGGTACAGGTGGCATCAAATGTCTTGCGGTCAAGGTCTAATTATATTATATTAAGCACTATCAAAGGAAATTATTGTTACTCAAAAATATGTTCATTTTACACGGTCACAGTACCCCTTTGCCCCCCGAAACACGTCCTCGTGTTTCCAAGAAGAACTAGTGTTGTCAGGCATACTTCTTACAGTATTGGAAGTCCGTGGATACTGCTTCCTGGCTCCACGGGGTGGTCCACTGTAGATGGCTTTCCTCGAGGAATGGAATTCTTTGTATTTCCGGAGTGAATTTATCTCCTCTTGTTTCTTTTTGGTGTCGTTCTGGAAGTCATCGATCACCTTTTTCGATTCCTCGAGGTCTTTTTGTATAGCAGATAGTTTTTCCTGGAATTCTTTGATGTTCTTTTCTTTATCTAAGAGCCGCGCTAGAGACGCTTGCCGCTCACGCAACCATTTGTTTTGGTAGTACTGGGCGTCGGATTTGTTAGATGCTGCCTGGTCCCTGAATTTTTTAACTTGGGTCTCCAAAGTTTCACTATGAATTTCAATAACGCTGACAGATGAAAATGGCATTTCATTCAATGTAGAATTTTCTTTACGATTTTTGCGGCTTGTCCGAAATCTTATTATTCTTTCTCTGTCTCTGGTTTGCTTCCTCTTTGATTTCCTTGAAGTTCGCACTGTATATGTTTCGTCAGTCTGCGTTGCAACTGAGCGCGTCGGTACTGAAGAGACAGCACAGATGGTACGGGAATTCCTTGTTTTACACATCCTTGCATAGTGTCCTCTTCTTCCACACTTGAAACATGATGAAGTCAGTGCGTTGCAGACGGTCCATCCGTGTCTTAATCCGCAGCGTCCACACTGTTGCAAGGTGAAGCGCGGTTGGACTGGTCGCATCCATGCAGGAACAAATGGAAACATGTCAATGATTAGGGGAATTCTGATACAAAGGTTAGCAAACTCGCTTAGCTGTATGAGAGCACTGGGATCTAACTACTACAAAGTATATGCAGTAGCCCTGGGTAAATTACCCTTAGGATTCTCCACCAAATATAACCGGTAGAAATACACAAGTCGGTACTTCGTTTAATAATTTATTATAACGATCCAAACTTGGTGTTTACTACACGATCTGTGTGTCGGCGTGGACAGTACAATGTCCAGTTTCCAACTGAAGATCATGTATTAAACAACCAATTTATAACAATGATTAAGTAAACAATTACAATGAAGAGTTACTCTAAGCAAAATGATATAATTGACATAATTAAGATAATTGAATAATAATTAAAACTTTAACTCAGGTACAGGTGGCATCAAATGTCTTGCGGTCAAGGTCTAATTATATTATATTAAGCACTATCAAAGGAAATTATTGTTACTCAAAAATATGTTCATTTTACACGGTCACAATATTATACAATTATGAAAAAATATTTTCATTACCTCGATGAAATAGTTCTTTATTGATAACAAACATAAAAGTAATGAATGAAAGTTTTAAAAATTAGCTTTATACTTTGTCTGTTACTTGGTTTTTTTGTTAGGCTTTATTTAATTTTTTTTTTATTTCTCATCTGATATTCATTGATTTATAATTGTATAAAAAAATGTTTGCATGAACTGCTCCCCAAGATGGGCGTGCAGAAGACATTGACTTTCCGGATATGAATAACTGCGTCTAAAATAACAAATAACTCTTTAAAGAAATTAACCAAAAAAAGGCTTTCGTAAATATTGTTTTGAAAATATTATTCAAAAACAAATGATATCTAACATCTGCATTATCACATAACATGAAAAATATCCACTATATCAGCATGTTTCACTTTTTGGGTCAGCATTCAAACATTATGTATTAGGGATTCTTTAATACTTATCACATTTGCATTTGCTTCAGTTATTCTATGATGATACTATCCACAGGAACCTGACGTTACTTATTTTTCTTGTAAGAGAAAAGAATATAACCCCTACCTAAAAATAAACTTATACATATTTATACATTAATTTAAGATTAGGTAGGGGTTATATTTTTTTATTAAAAGAAAAATAAGTAACGTCAAGAGCCCGTGATATATAAAATACATATGGTTACTGTCTTGATATATAGGCGATATTTGAGCGAGGGTAAGAAAATGTGATAGAGGGCGAGGCTTACCGAGCCCTCCTTCACGTTTTCGACCCGAGCCCAAATGTCGCTTATATTTCGATTACCATGTATTTTGTTTATACTGCAAAATATATTTATTTCTGACCTCCAAAATTAACTATTTTCAACACGATTTAGACACATTTTTGCAATGGAAACTGAGACGCCTTGGCTTAAACAGTGTAATATACAATGCTTTTATAACGTCGGAAGACATGCACGAGGCTTTATTAGGACATTGACGGAATAAAGCTTTACATTATTAGGTTACCTTTATTAGGTCAATGCAAGGAGTTGTTGCAGGATAAATAGAGGATATCTATATTGTGTGATTGTATTTACATTATGAAAAAAATAATTGAATAGAATAATACTTTTTTTTTTACTGCATAGTTTTATAACTGTAGGTTTACGCAAGGAAATTTTATTACATAAACAGAATTTCTTTATAACAAAATTTACCCTTTTAATCTTAAGCATTTATATGACTTTTCTTCAGTTAATTGAACGAAAATTAACAACACATGGAACTTACCGTTACTTTTTTCAGCATTTTCTTCGTCTATCTACAGGTAGATAAAATGTTATTTAGTAGGTTATATGCTTATAAATAATTATATGCTTAAAATAGAGGATATCTATATTGTGTGATTTGATATTGGCTTTATCCAACGAGTTGAAATGGTGTATATATTCGCGAGGCTTGTCGAGCGAATATACACCATTTCAACGAGTTGGATAAAGCCAATATCAAATCACACAAATATAGATGTTCTATTTATCTCATACGACTTTCGTTTTAACAAAACTTTGATACTTCCCCTGCAAAACTACATGAATGATTGCTAATTCAAATTGATGATGTATAACTTGATGATGTAGCACCGTTGATGTTGACAAAATTTTGAATTTTTGCTATCTGCGTCTTTGAAAACATTATGTGACAATTGCTGGAGCCTTATATCAAACGAACTTTTGACTGAAAGTTGTAAGGACCATGGGATCGTGAAAATGAACTCTTTGGACGATGGCAGTACAAAAAGTGTTAGGCGAGGCTAGGGGCCTACTTCATTGTTGATCCATGGTAAGTTGCACCTACATTACTAGGTTGGCATACGTAGTATAATATAAGAAAGTATTATTGAAGATGTTAAAGGAATCTTATAACAACAACTTAACTGCCAGGATTAACTTTCTCCGAAAACGATTTAAAAGGGGGAGGGGGGAATGAACATCTGTCTTCAAGTAGCCAATACAGGTTCCTTGATAAAATAAGACACTTCTTTGACATATACGAGCCTTTTTCTAGCTTTAAACTATATTATCGGTCTTTATCATTCATTTTATTAGGGTAATTATTTTCACAAATTAAAGTTTCAAATAAAATTTTGAAGCGAGGGATCGTGTCAAAACCGGAAGTGCTATTGATAAAGCATCTATCCGTGGATAAAGCATAGGTTTATTCAACGGCCTGTATCACCAACACGTATGAGATAATTATCCTATCTTTATCATCGCAAGCCAGGGGTCCTGAGTTAACAAGTTGCTGTTGGACTATGCAACGACAACGTGTTGGATCAGGACCTGTTACACACACGAGTTTATTTACTTAGTTTGAACACATTGTTTATTAAATAATGATAAGGATCCTAATCACATGGGTTTTTTTTTTTTTTTTTTTTTTTTTTTTTACAATTTTTACTATGGATTCGTTGTGAAATTCTTTAAAATGCTAAAATGATATATTTTAGTGGCCGATTTGATGCTTTTTAAGGGGGCCGACTGTGATTTCCATTGCGAAATATTTCGCAAAAAATGTAATGTATTTACTGTTTTAAGGCAACCGTTTTCGCACAATTATTAAAAAAAATAAGAAATTATAGGTATAAAAAAGTAATGACAATTTTATATAAGTGATATTTAAACCGATTTTGAAATTGATAGGTAGGTTGACGTCGTTACAGTGTGTTTTTGTCGTTATGATAACTGAAGCTCTTAAAGAAAGGGGGCAATAAATTGTCATTAAAGGAAAAGTAATAAACATAGTGTCTTGAAATTTAAAACATAGAAATTGCGAATACATGTATCTCCATAATTTTTCTTATGTTTTCCTATGGATCCTTTGTATCTGTCATATTTTGTAGTACTTGTAAAAACAGGAAAATTCGTAACAAGACGATAGAATTTTGTGTGTCTTACAGATATTGTTTAATATAGTATTACTCATCAAATATTATAATTTGAATAAAAAGTATGTAGTAGTATTTGTATAATTTGCTTTAAAGTGCTAAAAATTGGCATTTTCCAATATAATCCTATAGTAAATGTACTTGTATTTTGAGACGGTCCCTCAAAAATACCTGGACGGTTGATTTCCCCGAAACTATGCATGTACACTGAAGTTAATGTAAGTTATATATGGTATGAAAATGAAGAGTTTCGCTATTGTAGTTTTCACACAATAAAGACTCAGTCGGCCCCCTTAAAATTGTAAATTTTTTATCACTCTGAAAGGGGTCAATTTTCAACGGAGGTCAATTTGTTATAGGATTCACATATAAAATATTGACCCCAGGGGATTTTTTTCTACAAAAATATGATCTTTTATTCTACGGCTGAAGGTCATTTTTTGTCGCTGAAAAATGACTCCCCGGTCATTATTTGTCTTTATACAGGCACCAGTTTTGCTTACCCATGTAGTTTTTTTTATCATCTGCTCAGTATTGGAAAAGAAACTCCAAGTATATTTATTTAAATTTGTCATGCAGCGCATAATCAATACCACTGTTACATCTTGACAAATTAAATAGACAAAACAAATAACTAGGGTACCGCAACGCGAATCAATCAAGAATTTCAAAGTATTTAATGATGTAACTTATACCGATGTAACTTCTGTCACTTCCGTTACACACAAGACAAACTAACACACAAACTAACAAGCATGTTACTATATCTCCCAACTCCATTGCATGGGGGTAAAAAGTGCTTAAAGATCTTTCATTTACTAGAGTTATGCACACGTCTATGTCTTACTTTTTAATCCTATCAAAGCATGGATAATTTCACCAATTCATGACAATACCGGGGAGAATTAAGAAAAAAAAAACAACTGTATCTTATATTATGTTAACTACATTAATGAGGATTTCTTTGCTTTAAAAGATTAAGGCAGTCCGATACTCAGGTTCCGAAAATTAAGTGTTGAATAATTGAAAATGGTCATCAAAATACCTTCGAATTCTCAAAATAATATTATAATTGTGTTTTTTATCCACGGAATTTCTCAAAATAATATTATTGTGTTTTTTATCCACGGCAATTCTTCAAACTTTATCTTCAAAGTTAATCATATTATACAGGGAAAATTAGTAGATCTCCAATAAATTTTCAGAAAATACAAATAAAAACACCTACTATGCATTTTCATATTGCAAGTTAATCAACGAATACATTTCAAAATTAAAAAAAATACAAGTTCAGGCTTTTGAAAATTATTGCACTTTAGTTTCTTCTGTATTACATCCTTTTAGAGTGCAAAGTGTTTAAGGCATTTCCTATTATTACAAAATATCAAAAGACCGTCTCTAAAAAACAAAGATCATTGATTCGCATTGAGACACATAGAATGAAAATTGTTGCGTGAAAAGATTCCAATATCAAGCTTAATTTTGAGACTTTTTAAATCCTTTATAAATTAAAGTTATCCTTTCTGATCGAGACTGTGACCTAAAGGATGCTTCTTCTTGTTCTTTTTCCGTGATTTTGCCAATACTTCATAGTTTCTGGCATTGTTGCTCGGTTAAATAAGATATAGCTATTTTAATGCATATATATTTCATGTCCAAAACATTCAAATGCTTTTGCATATACGTCATTTTCAATATTAAATTTGGAGAAAACAAACAGAAACCATCCTTATAAATACAATGAAGCAAAACAATGAAAAAGTACTATAAACAGAGCAAAGATAAACAGAAATCATTTTATTTTTAAGATGTCTTTAAGTACAAATTGTAATTTTACTCCATATTTAACGCCCCTCTTTTTTTAAATCTAAAAATAGATGTCTTCTCATTCTTCCGAAAGAGCTAATTGCAATTAGGCAGTATCGTGCACACTATTTTTCTCGGACGAAATATATTGATGCGTATTAATTCACTTTATTTAATAATCTGTCCATTTGGCTAAAAACTTATTGTAAACAAAAGAACTGATAAGTATCGATTTTGGAGATGAGTTTGAATTTTTCCTTTGTTGTTTGATGTCAATCTAGAGATTTCTTTTATGATGTTTGATCTTTGATTATCAATCAAAAATGAAAACATACGTGGTCAAAAAAGAGGACAGAAATTATATTTACAAATCTATATTAATGTTATCACTAAAACTTTCCGTCCATAAAACTGTACATTATGAAATTTTACTTCAATTTTAAAAATAGGTCATATTATACCAGTACTCACCATTTTGAGATACCTACAACTGGTCAGATTATTATTAGCCTTTTCTTGACCGAGTTTTTTCCAGCTGCAACATGCTCTGCATTGGAAAAGATCTTTCTTGATTTCGCAGATTTCGAATCCGATACATTGGCGAATATCCTTACATTTGTCAAGGCAATTAACAGTAGCTGCTACAAGTGTTCGTCCTTGAGTAGTAAACAAAATGTCCAGCTGACTTGACAAAGATCCCCAAAATTCCACGGACAAGTGTTCTTGGACCAGCTGTGCATTCGAATAAAAAACGAAAGTCGTTATGTATACACCAATAAACATATTATTCATAATTATTCAAAAATTCTTAAAATTTTAATAATCGGAAAGAAGACGTAAGCAACCGTCAAAATTTGATTTAATCCCAAAAGATGCATCACATTTTGTTGTCAAATTCTACATGACTTAAAATACGGAGTTAATTTGTACTATACAGATGAAATCATTATTTATAAGCCAGGGTAGAATTTTAATGTTTTAATCAATAAACATATTTTACAAGTATATAACAATTAACACCTATAAACCATCATTAAATGGAACGAAATACTCCTTCTAGTATGTCAATGGTCGGAAAAGGAATAACTTCAATAAGCTTCGACAGAACCAATTTTATCATCAAGGTTATATAACTTTTTCGAGCTTTTCCTTCGTTTGCGTTGAAAGACAGATCTATATCCATTGTACAAATATGTTTGATCTAAACTCCATAAAGAAAAATTGAAATAATCTAATCAATAATGTGTCTACATTGACCGACAAGATTATAATTATTAAATGAGAATAATTATTATAATTCTAGGGAAAATAATAATGTTGCAAAAAAAAAGGTTTTTATGTTTGGATGAGATAATTATTTTTGGGTATCATTATATAAGGAAAAAAATATTAATGTGGGGGTACATATCCTATACTGCATTCCATATAGTTACTACCGCTTTGGTATATTTAAAAGTTAGTTCTTTCGAAATACAGATACATGTATACAGAAAAGATCATTATTGACAAACTGTTTACATGCGTGATATTTGTGTATATATTTATGCCCCCGTCAACGAAGTTTCGGGGGTTTCTAGTTTTTGTCATGTCCATCCTTCTGTCTAGCTGTCTGTCTGTCTCTCTGTCTGTCTGTTTGTCTGTTTGTCCGCAAAAACTTTAACCTTGCCCATAACATTTGATTTAGTGGAGCCAAGACTTTAATATTTCACATGTATATTCCTTGTGACAAGACCTTTCTTTGGGTACCACCAAAATTTGACCTTTTGACCTTGACTTTGAAGTTTGACCCACATTTACACAAAATTTCCAAACTTTTACTTTGGCCATATATTTTGATCACTTGAAACCAGGACTTTTATACTTCATATATGTATTTTTTGTGGCAAGACCTTTTGTTGAGTACCAACAACTTTGACCTTTTGACCATGGAGATTTCCGTACTTATGAAAAAACTTTAACCTTGGCCATAACTTTTGAACGGAAAGGGCTAGGGCTTTCTTCTTCACATATGTAATCCTTGAGGAAGACGCTTTATTAGATTCCAAGAATTTGGACCCTCTGACCTTGACCTTGGAGTTTGACCTACTTTTTAAATACAACTTTGCACAAATTTTTGAGGGGTTTGAACTAGGCCTTTTTTGCTTGACATATTCAATCCTTGTGACAAGACCTTTCATTTGATTTCAAAAACCTTGATCCTTTGACCTTGACCTTGGAGTTTGACCTATTTTTACACAAAAAAATCCAAACTTTTACTTTGGTCATAATTTTTAAACGGTAGATACACTGTACTAGGAATTTCATATTTCAAATATCAATTACTTGTGGCAAGAACTTTCTCATTTGAAACCAACAATTTTAACAGTTTGACCTTGAACATTTCCGTACTTACGAAAAAACTTTAACCTTGGTCATAACTTTTGAACGGTAATGGCTAGGGCTTTCATACTTCACATATGTAATTCTTGTGAGAAGACCTTTTATTGGATATCAACAACTTTTACTCTTTGTTCTTGACCTTGGAGTTTGACCTACTTTTTACAAACTTTAACCTTGGTCATAACTTTTGAATGGTAAGAGCTAAAGCTTTCAAAATTCACATATATCATTCTTGTGACAAGACCTTTCATTGGACTTTCAAAATGTTTAATTTTTATGGAAGAATATGGAAGTGTCAGTACAATTATAATTTTAAGTGTAATATCCATACAGAATTAAGGCACGTCCTCAACGTTTTGCATAATTCAAAAAAAAATCCCATTATTCAAATTTTGAAGTTACGAATTTAATGCAATTCCTATTAAACTGAATGAGAATTTAAACTCAGACCAGGCATGCTGTTGCTCTTCTACTTGGGACTACCGATGTATTTGTAGTTGTGTTAGAATGTGTGAATAGGGAATTGAGGCGTTATTTTTTCATATCCTCGATGAAATGATTCTTTATTGATAACAAATATACAATTGCAAGTTATGAATAAAAGTTTTAAAAATTCACTTTATGCTTTGTCACAATGGTTGTTATTATATAAGGTTTTAATTTGTGCCTTTTTAAAAAAGTTGTTGCATTAACTGTTCCCCAAGGTGGGCGTGCATAAAATATAGAAGTAAAAAGTATTGAGTTTCCGGATGAGAATTACAGTGCCTAAAATATTTTTACAAGTTTTTAAGAGGAAGTTAATTTTGTTTTGAATAAATTAATAATTACAGTTGCAAATGACTCAACATTTTTTTCTTTGTACTATCCATACATTTATCAATTTTGATTGTTCGCATTGGAAATTAAAGTATGAAAAATTGCTCTGATAAAGTAAGGCAAGGAACAGCTTGAGAAAGAAAAATACCATGCATGATAAATCAATTTTTTTTCTCAATTTCATTTTGTCTTTTGAATTTAGTTTTGCGGAAATTTCATAAAATGCTAAAACAATATGTGTTTGCGGTCGATTTGATTCTTTGCATCAAGTTAACTTGTATGTAACATGAAGTATTCTTCTGAAAACCAAAGTTTAATATACACCCTAGCATTATATAAATGCTTACAAAGTTAAGTGTAAAAGCCAGTATCAATGTCATTTACTGAAGAAGACTACAAGAATGTCAACAATAAAAACAATAATGAAAAAAAAAACAACTTTGGTATACATACTATTATTGCAGGTTTTGAATTCACATAGATCTTTCAGAAATTAAGTGAAGTCTCCTTAGTCGAGACGATAATAATCCCGATGCCTCATCTTCTAGTATGAACATTGATAATAAATATAAATAATGCATTTGAGTAACTCTTCATTAGGATGATTTGCTAGGGAATACAAGTACACAGGTTGCCAAGGTTCATCTGTATATTTCTTAGAATTTACATTCATGGATTTAAAAATGTATTCCGGTAACTAATCATATATTTCAATAGAAAAAAGAATAAAACTTCATTTTAATAATGGGAATATGAACACAGTTTTGTAATCAAGAGTGCATTTGTAATAAATCACATTACTATACAGTATATTTTAGAAAAAAAAATGCAGTTAATTAAGAATTAATTGGTAAATATTTGTTTGTATAAACAAATAACAAATTCATCCTCTAGCCGTCGAATGCCTTTGAAAAATATAAAGCAACATCCCACAAATGTTTTGAATACTTATCTATCTCATCATCGGAGGAACTGAGATCAGGAATATATGGTGCTATTGCTAATTCTGTCCTATCGGATATCATCCTACAAGAACGGGTCCTTGATTCCACAGTATATTCTTTGATCCTAGATACTTTAAGCTGCATTGTACGCCATACTTTCCCTTCTATATTTAAGTTCTTATTTGAATATATTGTCGTTTCTTTCTCTCTTATATACGTCACAAGATCCGAGCACGCGCAATAATCCATTCCCTTTTCTTTGTATAAGTGGTCTATCACTACCTAGAACCTTTTCGTATTTTTCTATTTCATTTAAGGCTTTTCTGGTCAATGTCCTATATGACTGGATTTTACATCGAGCATTAAACAGGCCTGCTTTAGAGTTATCAGACGATGACGAATTTCGCCGGATTATTTGACCTATGAACCATTTCATTTCAGGAGCATTATGACGTAGAATCTCTAAATGTTCGTCAAGATCGAAAAACCCCTCATTTCTTATTCTTACTTTCACTCTTACCTTTTTCTCGACTTGAATAAAATTTTTGAGAATTTTCTTTAATTTTTCGGCCTTTTCATACATTGGCAAGAACGAACAGGTGTAAGATACGTATTTTTTTTCCTTACCATAACCACGCCTTTGTTCAAAGGTTCTCAAAAACCTTGTCAATTCTGATACAGTCAAAGGAATTTCTTCTATGTACATAACATAAAACGACCCGAATACAAGGACAATGTACAGTCCACCATGAAAGACTTCATTGTAATAACTTCTGATTTTTCTCCATTGTCGACTGAATGCTGTTTGAAAAGCTTTCCCGTCATCTGTGTCATTGTAAGATCTCAAAACTGGTAGGTATTTTGGTTTTCTTTGATGGCTATCTTGGGAGGGACCGCGATAGTCTTCAAATGCTATCGTATCGTCATCTTGTCTTGATCCTTTTTTTATTGCTTCGTCTACCGATGATTATCCACAATTTGCATGAATAAATCTTTTATTGAAAGTATTTGTTGATATTTCAAATAAAGTCTTATGAATCTGCTCCAGTTGAAGAGTCGTTCCAATTGCTTCTAGTTTTAAAATCTTAGACGTTCCCGAATCTTCAAAATAGATAAAAGCATCAGCGGCTGTTTTTCCCTCAAATTGAATTCCATATAAGGCTCCGCGTATTCAACTGCACACCAAAACTCAATTGGTACTAGGATAGATTCAGAAACAGCGAATTGCTCCTCTTCTGAATCCCCATGTGTTTCTACTGATAAACTTAGACTTATTTCTATATATTTCAACATGCACTTTCTCACAATATCCTCCGTATTCTTAACTAGCCAATGAAGTAAGCTGTCTGGCAAGTCTGAAGATGCTACAATATTTTGTAGAAAAACTCTCACGTTTTTCAAGCAATCAAGTAAGATAGCTGCTTTGACATTTTTCCTGGATACAAAATGTTCTATTTTACATTGCCTTACAAGCAGTAAAGGCAACATGTATTTGATGACATCAGCTGATGTGCCAGGGATTGACCAGTCCCCCAATTCCTGAAGGAGGAACTGGACCACATTTTTCACTGATGGATACTTTTCTAGGTCTTCGTTGATTGCTTTGCTTTTATTTACAACAACATCATCTGTTATTATTGTAATAAATCCATCAACATTATCTTCAAGTTTTAAAAGAAAACATAGTTTCTCTCTAAATTCATTGGTATTTGTGGGAAGACCAGAACTTGGTAAACTTTGTATAGTTGAGATAATCAGTTCTAGGTCGTTCATCTTAGCTCCCAAATACTGATTATTATTGCCAGGTAGCACGATGTTATGTCCACATAAATCGATCCACTCTAAACATAGATTTGGGGGATCATTTTGCTCAACCATACTACGCAAAGACTGAAGGCGCTTTAAAGTATTCATTCGAACTTCCTCAGACTGATTCATTCTTCTTTCAAATGATTTTTCTATTTCTTCTATGACAGTATGTTTTTCCTGTTCATGTTTGAGTAATGACAAAATATCAGCGACAACCCAAGGAAAACTTAAAAGCTGTTCAGTGGACTCTGTTCTATTTTTATAAGTTACAGTATACCAGACAGATGCTTTTCGAATCATTGGCTCCAATGAATCAAACTTTCTTTCTTCTCCACCAATTTCCGCAAAGAAATTCGCCCTTGTTTTTTTCCATAATATTGATACTCTCTCTTGAACTATTTTTCCTATTTGAAATTTCTCGTCTTTTAGACAACCTCTTCCACGTTTCAGTGTCTGAATCAACCCAGTGATTGCTTCAGATTCATTTCTTAACCCAAACTCCGTCATTATCTCTCGCAGCTTATTATTATAAAGATCTCTTTGTAAAATTGCATCTTTAGTGTCCTTTTCTGTCAATAACAATACTAAGTCATCATCGATAATGAGCTCCTCAGGTACAGTTTTGTGTCTTTGGGTGGTTCGATGCAATTGTTGACACTGACGATATAATTTTCCAAGGATTTTAGACGAATAATAAGGCAATTTATCACTTTTCATCATGAAATCTGGATATCTTTTGGGACGAACGTCCGTGTCTATTTGTGGACATTTCCCACTTTTGGGGAAATCAACGGCATCTGAATGTTTTTTTGCAAGTTTAAGACAGAAATCCGAAAAAATGCCCTCCGGTTCACTATCTGCCAAAGCAAGATGAGCATTAGCTATGATTCCTAGGTTGTCATTTTTTATGTAATTGGCCAAAAAATCAACAATATGAGTCAACTGAACATCTGAATCTAAATATGTTTTCTTTGCTTTTTGGAAATCCATTGGGTCTTGATTTTCGATCCCGTGAAATCGTTCATCCCAGCAAACAAAATACTCATCCCCATCGAGATCTGATCCAGACATTTCATCAGGATGAGGTCTTAAACCAAGTTGAGGAAAAACAATGCAATCTACCATATGTCTAAGATGAGGATTATTTACTGCTTCAAAAATTCGTACATCCCCAGGATGAAAACACGGATTCTTTGTAACTACAACTTTTCCTAGAACCATTTGAACATCTTTAAGTGGTTGGTCAAGTTCTTTTGAATACTGAATAAAAACTTGTCCATACTTCAGTGTTTGAGCTTCATCTGTTGTACCCATCATGTACCTTCCTTTCTCCAAAGGTATTTGAATCCGAGATCTTCTCTTAAGATCCTCCACTCTCTGCTCGAATATTGCTAAAAGCAAAGACCGTAAGAAAGGCTCACGAACTATGTTTACCTTTTTGTTAATTAAGTTCTTGAAATCAGTTGGTAGTGATACCTGTAAAAATTATTAAACCAATTAAACAATAAAAGAAGATTCGAATACATAAGAATGAAATATAATGAAGTATAAGAGTAAAAAATGTATTAATGGAAACAATATTTCAAAAGATGCATAGCATTCGGACTTGCAATATTACATCATTCCTCATAGATTAAAACTATAGAATTACCTCTTTTAAACTCATTAAAGCGTTGTCTTCTTTAAGAAACATATCTGCCAAGTTATAAAACATTGTCTCTTGGAGTTCCTTGAATGCTTCGTCTGAAATTCCAAGACCTGATAACAAAGTTATGACTTGTCTATTCAGGTGTAGTCGCCCTAGAATAAATCAAAGAAAACAAAGAAACCTAACTAAGGTACTCATTGAAAACTTAGAGATATTTGTCAATAAATCCATTCAAAGAAAAAAAATGATGATTTTGTGAAAGTCTATGAGCCCGGAAGGAACAAAGTTCGAAAAAGCTATTTTTAGCATATAGGTCACGGTTTAGTTCACAAGGTCATTGAAAGAACTTAGTTAGTGGAGAATGCATACCAGATATGAAGACTTATCTCCTATGGTTCAAAAGTTATAGCGAAAGTTCGAAACAGCTATTTTTAGCATATACGGTTAAGATCACGTCAAGATCACAAGGTCATTGACCATGGTGTCATCTGAACGAGCTTAATTAGTTGAGTATGCAAACCAAATATGATGTCTTTATCTCTTGTGGTTCAAACGTAATGGCGAATGTTCAAGTTGCTATTATACAAATAGACAAGCAGACAAACAAATAAACAGACAGGACAAAAACAATATACGCCCTGGATCTATCGATCCGGGCGCATAATAATGGGTATGAAAGGATACATTAGCGATTACCTGGACGTGAAAACTGCAATATTTCAAGACTGGTAGAACTTGATTCAAATTTTTTCATGCTGTCTCTAATGACAAGAACTTCCCTTTCCGTACCCAAAGATGGATCTTGTGCAACCACACCTTTACATCCACCATAGCGTATCTGGAACGCAGACGGAACAGTCTTCAATCCCATTATCTCGGCAACCTAAAGTTCAAGTTAATTTCAAGTAAATTAAATATGAATATAAAAAGAAACAAATATGAATGCGATTTTATCAACGGTCTACAAAGGCCCATATGAATAGGTTTAACAATTCACATAGAAATTAAAGTTGAAAGTTTTGCACAAAATTACAAGCATGCTTTTCCATTTTATTCCATTTTTTTCTTATTGTTTTCTTTATTGTTTTTTTTTATTGACTTGAGATGTATTGGTCATGATTCCGCAGTAAAGTTTTAATTCATAGTAAAATATATATCTACCTTAGTAGCAAGTCTCTCTGAAATCTTTCCAATGCCATCAGTAAAGCAAAATCCATTTCTTATGATATCGCTTTCATATTTTACTTCTTCCCCATTTTCACCTATGTTCAACACGTGGGAAGATGATGAAAAACAGAGCCCGAAACGAGAAACATATGAAGCAACACATCTTTCTTTATACAGCTCTCCGGCTTTTTGTCTAATTATGTCTGTCGTAATTCCATCATAGGAGCTGAAGAACCAGAAACTATGTACTCGAAGTTGACTGTTTGAACAACCTAAAAACGAGTAATGGCGGTTATGTATAGTGAACCCATTTAAGAAAATTTGTTTCATTTCTGTCAAGACTCTGTTGAGTGTATTTGACTGCATTGCACTTATCTTCTCGAAGTTATTATCTCGATACACAAGTCTTACGAAGAAATCTTCCTCGTATTGCCGTACAATTCTATTCTGAAATACAGGTTCCTTTGGCAAAAAAACAAATTTTGATGGTGTCAGCAATACTTTTCGGATCATTGAATAATTCTTTAGATTATTTATCCCATTATCCTGACCAATGCATGTGGGATCATTTATTCGCATCGCTGCACATATCTCTTCTATAAAATGGAAGAAAGGTTTCTCAGCAATACTTTCCATCATTTTGAAGAGCACCTGTTCTGTAACTTTTCTTTGGTATAGTTCATCGATGACTTTTTGGGAAACATGGTCCCTTACTTTATATCCTAAAGAACACAATGATTTCCAAGCGTACGCATTTTCAAACTCTTTGAATTTTGGTTCAATCTCTTTCTTTGGATTTTGAAACTCCATTTTTGCGTAAACAACATGAATATCTCGGTACTGTATATACCAAATTATCCTGGACAGAATGGGGCTGTTGGTTGCAAGCTTCAAGCTAAAGCAATCTAAATAACCAAAATTTGCAAAGCCAGTCTCACTGGCCGGTATCCTTATTTTCCTTAATTCATTCCCAGAAACAACTTTGAATAATTTAGGACTATATCTCATATAAAGATATACAAATGTTTCACTATCTTTTGTATCAATTGGGACAAAGTCGTGTATACAGTCTTTGGTTATGTTAATCTCTATCCTTATTTTAGAGGTCGTTATTACCAAAAGAGATTTTTCCTGTTGGAATTCTAGAGATGCATCTACATGCCAGTGTTTCACAAAATGGACTGGGGAGACCATACTTCCTCCATAAATTTCAATATTTTCTCCATTTAGCATAACAGGCTTCTTGTAGGAAACTCGTTTTGTGGGAAGGACTTGAATCCATGACATGTATTCTTTCTCGTGTATGTATTTCTCCCACAACTTAAGGACAGTGCTTACCAGTTCTTTTCCCAATGAGGATTCAATGGTAAGAGTACATCTAATATTATTCTCAGCATAGGAATTGCTCTCGTCTGAAAATATAATGCTTGAAGGAAACTGAATGAAATTAACAACACAATATGAATCGTATCAGCTTGGATCCATATTATTCCATCTTTTTTTGACCATACATAATTGATAATAATCTTATTTTTTACCTACATATCTGCATATATGTAACAATAAGTAAGTCAAAATAGCGTTTCATTTTATTATAGTAATAATGATTTTGTGTTTCCTTTTTACTTTATATTTATATTTTTTGTTCACATAAAATGTTTGGACATTATGATATTATCGAGGTTATTTTTGACAAAAAAATCTTACCATTGCTAGTTATGAAAATTAATGATATAAAGCATATTTTTTTCTAGAGAGTACGTGCCACATTAGCAATGAAGAAGATATTTTCACAAATCGGAATGAAATAGATACCAATATTAGAAGTATAATTTGTTAACTCCAGAAAACAAGTTCATCAATAATTACTTTCTTCAGTTTTCAGCCTATTTAGGTGTAATCATCCCCCCTAAATTAAGGAATTAAATAGAAAGACATGAATGATAATTCACCGGTCATTTCCTGTATTAGAATAATTGTTGACTAGATATATATCATGAGAAATACAAATATACTTCATACCTTATGCTTCGTTTTGTAAATATTCAACCATACACTTTACAAATTAACTTTTTGATGCTTTAATACATTTCCTTGGCATTCATCACACAATTATTTAGTAAATTCCAGTCTGTGAAGAAAAGGCTTCCTAGATTATATGATAGATTTAACACAATCTTATGTTATGTATACGGGATCAAGTTTTTATCTAAAGAACGAATCATTTAAAATACCGATGGTGCAATACTGATGACTTCAAAACGTAGTGCGTGGTGTTTGTGAATTATCAGAGGTGGGATAAGGTGCCATGGAGGAGTGAGCATCCCCTGCCGATCGGTCACACCCGCCGTGTGCTCGTTGTCATGATCAGGAAATAACGGAAAAAATCCGTCGTCAATTCAGTGTATAAATAATGGACTAACAATTGGTATGAAAAACGTCAGTCAGCATTTGACTCAATGATAAATTGTATTTGCTGACAAGGTCATTGTATCGACCATAGAACTTACGAAATGATGACTTTAAACGAGACTGTTGATATTCTTGTTTCATCAACTTGCTTGTCAATAATTTACCTCGTTTAAGAAATTGTTCATACGTACAGCATGCTCTTGCGTATCGAATCAGCTGAGATATATATACTCCGTATGCAGGTGATGAAGGTATATTGCTGCATAAGTAAGGGAAGTTGACGATAGAAAAGTTAAAGTCATCACGTTTATCATATAGCTTGGTTGTTAGATTACCATTAGTGTCTTTTTCAAGTAAAATATCCAAGTATGAAACAGAAGTGTCGGACTCTGTGGTATCTTTTATCTCAAGCTCACCAGGATATATCGTATCGACGTAGGAATGGAAATTATCATTATTAATTGACCATACGTCGTCGATATATCTAAATGTCGAGTTGAAGGCCACAGCAAGTGTTTTCTTCTTTTCACGCATAATATTTTGCATAAATTCTGCTTCATATGAATATAAAAATAAGTCTGCTAATAACGGAGCGCAATTTGTACCCATGGGAATTCCAATAGATTGTTGGAGTACCTGGTCTCCAAACACCACATAGATATTGTCAATCAGAAACTCAAGCATCTTTTTGATGTCAACTTCAGAGTACTTTTGTGTGCAATCAGAATCTGTTTTAACAAAATAATTTTGCAAATGACCAATAACGAGGTAAGTAAATTTACGAGTTCCATTTTTATTGAAGAAGCAGCTGTCAATGATATCAAAAAGCCTGGATTTTAATTTGTTATGGGGAATTGTTGTGTATAAAGTTGAAAAGTCGTAAGTTTTTAAGCTGTTGATTTTTGTAAAGTCTTGTGATTTCAAATTGTCCAAAAGTTTTTTTTAGAATTTTTAAGTATCCACATCTGATTTACGCCACTTTTTGAATATATAGTTGCACAGTACTCTTGAAGTTTTTCCTTCACTACTGTCAAAATCTTAGTGAGAAGTAACGAAAGAGGCTTGGTTGAACATTTACTGGAACCTGCAATGTGTCTTTGTTTGTAAGGATTCTTATGAAGTTTCGGAATCCAATATATATAAGGTAGATCAAATTCATTTTGGCTCTGTGGAATATTAAAAGTATTCAAAACTGACAGGTGATTTTGAAAGCATTTCTTCCTTAGAAAGAGATGTATGAGTATACGAGGACTGTTCGGAAATTATTGAGACAATTATATTTACTCCATAAAGGACGGAGAAAATTTCATGAAAATTCATTAACATTTTATAAAGAACGGTTAAAACACTTATGCAAAATTTCTAATTCCTATGATCATTAGATACGTTTCGGTGAAATAATAAACTGGCATATGTTTATCGACCCGGAGCAGCATCGCTATGTTATTTAACGTCACGTCAGCCGGAGATGTTTTCGCATGTGAAACGATCGGGAAGCGTTTAATACTCTTCCTTCTTTATCATTACATATAACATTACAAAAATCAAACATTCTCTTTTCTTAAACTATTCTTTAAAATGTATGCTGTTGCTTCCCTCGTATAAAATTTCTTTTGTGAGAAAGGATGACTTAGAATCATGCAATGCCGATATATGCAACGCGGGTCAACGATATCAATACCGTAACGATATTAATACCGTACGTAATAACTGATGGTCTTCCAGAGCTTTTGATTTTACTCTTGTTGAATTAATTGTAAAAAAAAATATATACCAATGAAATAACAAAGCCTAAAACATTAATTTTTCTCGTTGTTATTGTTTTAGCAGGTCGTTCTACCCGGAAAAGAGTTCTACATTGAACTACACAAAATTTTAGGTATGCTTGCTGCTCCGCCCTTGAAGTCAAAATCTATTTTGTCGTCGTTAACAAATTTCTCTACCGCGCTTAATTTTTTTTAAGATCTCCGTATTTCTGATCAAAATACTATCAAAGTTGCACAATATGAATTTGAAATAAAGCTGAAAAATTATACACATAAACTAAATTATTTTCGCTTTTATTATGGGTCCACGAAGAGTTAAAACGTTGGTGATGCATATTTTCAATAGATGACTTCGTGACTGCTCCGGGTACCCCTACTATTGACGCATTTATATACCATTGTAGAGAAAATATTTAATATTTCTAAAATATCTCTTGCTTGTATCAATCCGTAGTGTGTGTCAAACATACATGCAAATTTTCACCGAATGACGTTCATTAGAAAGCTAAATATACACAATGTCTCAATAATTTCCGAACAGCCCTCGTAAGTAGAATTACCACTTGCAAAATTAAATCCAAGTTCTTCTAAAATGCAATTTATATAATGAGCCTATAATTCACACACCAATGATTCACACTTAACTTTAAAACATTCCTTATATTTACATTTTACATGTTTGGAAGCACCAAAAATATACTCAATATCTAAAGTTCTCGCTACCCTTTATCGTTATACTTTTACTAACGTCGCTGTAACCTTATTATGATGTCACGTTAACGCATGTTTATCCCTGTATATTTACATCCACTGAATATTTTCTCCTTTATTTCTTAAGAAACCTCATTGCGTTTCACTGCATAAACTACAGTAGGCATGTCGCCTGTACAGATTTCTTAATCAGTGGCTGTTTCATCAATGAAACGTATAAAGACGTTCGCATCATTAATACAATAATTAATCTTTTTAATCCTACTTTAATTGGTTATTTAAACAGATATAAATATAAACAATAAAATGTCTTTCTTTGTTTATTATTACTGGAATGAACGGTCACAGCTATTGCAGAAAAAATTTACATAACCCGCTTACGCGGGTTAATATGTATTTTTTCTGCAACAGCTGCTTCCGTTCATTCCAGTAATAACAAATAAAGAAAGCATTTTATTGTTTAATATTTCTATGCGTGAGAATACACGAAAATGGTATTCAAATCAATTTCACCGTTGGCTTAATAGAAAAACATAGCGAATGTAAAGATTATAAGATATTTACATTTCCGATGTCTTTGTCCGAGATAAAATAACAAACTGTAAATGTACTTAATTTCCCCATCAATGTATTGGCGCGGTTCCAAAAAAACCACGAGCAGGGCGGTACAAATAGCTAGTCAGAAGCGGGGCTTGGAGCACGTGGATTGGCGGAATTAATCAAAGCATGTAAATATAAGAAAAAACTGTCAGATTTTTCAATTTCATGGCGATGATCAATTGATTGGCTTGCGTGATAATTTTATGCATAAACGCCTTCATGCACTTTATCACGCGAGCCAATCGATTGATCACATCATGAAATCGAAAAATAAGACAGTTATTAGGGTCTTCCGAGCTTCTTCGGAAGACCCTACTGTTATTCTATTGTTTTTCCACTATTATTTTTTTTTTCCTAAAAATTTTGTCAGTCAATTTCTCGGACATTTTTTGCTCGATTGTTATGAAACTTTCAGGATAGATACCTTATTTCAAGACCTAAAAAATTTTTTTTTCAATTTCTCCATTTTCGCCTCTGTTCATGAGTTATTGCCCTTTGATTAATTTTTGGAGGGTCTTTTGTCCGCCTGATTTCTCAGGAACTACCAAAGATAGTTAAATGAACATTTTAAGAAAATGTAGCTAATGTATTGTAGTTGTGCAAGACATAAATATTATAGGCTAATTCTTTTTAATTTATTTGTTATTCGACGGTAAATTTTAAGAATTTTTTTTTTTATTAAATTTTGTTGATTTTTCCTTAATAACTTTTAAACTGAAAAATTTTTGTAAAGACATATAGAAGAAAAGTTTAGTAGAATTATGAGGGCTTTTAGATGAAATCATAAAAAGGAGGCTGGCCCCTATATTTAAGGGTCAGGAGGTCATAAACATCTTTTTGAAATAAGAAAAAATGTTAACATCTGCTGCAAACTATTAATCTCATATATTCTTGCATACTAAATCTTTTTATTTGCCATGAAAAGAAAAGAAAATCGTGCTTTATTTAAAGCTATTTTACAAAAAGAATTTCAAGAAATACAGGTACAAGTTGTCTATACGTAGCTAAAAGGGGATCACTATACATGTACGGGCCTTATTAGAGCTTAAATATACATAAACAATGCTATAGCGTTATGACTGCTTTCTATAATGCTATGTCTAAAATATTTATATATTTATCACTTTTAACAGCGATCTACTAAATAAATAACAATATCGTAATGTATGCAATGTTTTGGTTCGATCGCGCCGGATGTAAACATTCAACGGCATTGTGGGAAAAGGACCAGCATGGCACAAACGTGAAACGAAGAATGTAATCTGTATTTTGACATTGATTGCGTATGTAGACACTCATTATTCAATCCACGGCTCGGACTGTGTGCAGATAACTCTCCTGATTACTTACATATGGAGCATTCGTGCATGGATGTTTAAGCTGTCAGAAGATTTTTTGTGCGATCGCGAGTAAATTCTGACGGCGCCTTTCCATCTTTCGTTTATCGCGTAAGAACGCAGTTAACAGTGGTATTTGTGTCTTCGGCTTTGCTGTGGAGTATAAACGATATATAAAAACACAGGCCTTTTAAAAGAAGGTAAGCTTTTTTCCATATCTACATAAATTTAAATATATAAACAAATTTATATTTTTATAAAAGCCTACAAGGTCATTATGTTTACATTAATAAATCGATTTTTTTTTTAATTTCTGGTCAGGACTTGGACTGTAAACCCACTTATGACATTATCAAATCTTTACTGCAATAGCTTATAAAGCTTTTCCATAATTTTAAAATTACATCTAATTTCACAAAGAATTAAAAATAAATTAGATACCTACTTCATTTAGATCAAGTTGTAAAAATCAAGATACAGTTTAACTGCAGTGAAAAGAATAAAATAGTGTATGTTTTTCTTAAAATAGTGAGCTTGGTATTCCCTGGGGTTAGTGTCATATCGTTACTTACATTGTTTTTTGGGGGGGGGACCGGGCATCGTCTCAAGCCACGGTCCGGAGTCCGCATGTATAGCTCTCTCCTACCCGTGGCTGCTTGATCACCAAAAGTGTCTTAATCTTGAATATTCACGCCTCTCTATTGTGACGTCATATTCAGTCAGTGGGAAGTTTTGTTTCCATCGCAACAATTGACATCAACAGTATACAAGGCATATTTCGTATACTGCGATTGGATATCGAAAGGTCACAATATAGTTCATCATCCGACTATGCTTTATTTGCATTGGTCAATATTTTAATGAGCTACGAAAATTTCTCTCCTCGTTCAACCACGGCCAGAATGGGAGAGGAGCGTACATTTTGGCCACGGTTTGCGACGATGGGGACCGGATTCAGATTTGGTTCTTGGTCAGTTTATTTTACACCTGGGAAGACAAGGTCAAGCCATGTATACAATTTAGTAAACAGTTACCATCCCTTACCTGGTTGAACCCACTTAGTCACTACAAAAGCTTTATATTGAATATATATTTACCCATCTGACAGATAGAATTATAATATTTAAGTGGCCATGTCTGGTGGTTTGCAGAATCATTAAAAATCCTTCCTGACCTATGGATCATCACACTTGGATATGTTGGAAAATACCTAATATTTATTTATAATATGATGTCACGTAGTGCGTGTGCGCTACATAATAGTTGTATTTTTGTGAGTTGTGCTGTAAAACATGCAGACAAGGTTTTGCATTGTGTGTCTGTTATTGACTGTTTCTTAATTCTAAATTTTTAATATGATTATGAAGTCACAATGAAATAAACTTATTGATTATAATTTATAAATTATGTTATTGTATAGTCTATTTATCCCTATATAATCTTTACAAACGCAAACAGTTCATAACACTACATATTCACCGGATTTTAGGCCGTATTCACCGGAGGGTTAATGAGCGGCATTGTGACGTCACAATCAAAACATCGAACAACGTTGTAAACAATGTTGCAACGGCCGCAGCGAGCTACGTTTCTGAGCAGGAAAACAATTATTCAAACCTATTTCAGGGTTATTTCTTAACATCTAGACATCTTACACATAGCTTCGCCTCGGTCAATATGAATATTTTTCTGGTGAATAACAAACCATATTCAACACCAAAAGAGTCCATAATTGTTTATTATTTACCATGTTTACATCCCATTCTAGAATTTATGACTCAGATGGAGATGTCACTTAGCCTAGCTATAGCCTTGTTTAATTCTTGACACTTACATGTAGGGCCATTTCTGTGATAAGACTGTAGTATTGGTTTGTTTGTTTGTTTGTTTGTTGATTGTCCTTTAAAATATTTTTCAGTCATGTTATGATGCCATCACTATGATCACTTGCTGGTGGAGGCCTGCAAATGTACACACCAGTGACATGTACCCAGCACTTATGGTTTTTGAGACGTGAGGGATTTTTTTGTGCCAACTGTGAGACAGAACCTAAGTTTATACAGTCTCATCCGAGGAACCTGTTTGAGCTGTCTCCACATCCAGGAGTGGGATTTGAACCTGCCATGTAAGGATCAGCTGCTTAATGCTACTTGATTGATTGTATGTTGTGTTAGATCTTATTCGATAATTCTTTACTAATACAGAGATGTTACCATATAATGGTAAATGTCTTCAAATTCAAACCTTTACTTTGAACTCAGCAATGTGACAGTGTGTTGTGTAAACTTGTGTTAGCAAGACAGCGTGTTTTGTGTAAACTCATGTTAGCATGACAGTGTGATTTGTGAACTCACGTTAGCGAGACTGCATGTTGTGTGAACTCGTGTGAGCGAGACAGCGTGTTTGTGAACTCGTGTTAGCGAGACAGTGTGTTGTGTGAATTCATGTTAACTTGACAGTGTGTTGTGTGAACTCGTTTTAGCGAGACAGTCTGTTGTGTGAACTGGTGTTAGCGTGACAATGTATTGTCTGAATTCATGTTAGCGTGACAGAGTGTTGTGTGAACTTGTGTTAGCGAGACTGCGTGTTGTGTAAACTCATGTTAGCAAGACAACTTGTTTTGTTTAAACTTTTGTTAGCATGACAGTGTGATTTGTGAACTCGTGTTAGTGAGACTGCATGTTTTGTGAACTCGTGTTAGCGAGACAGCGTGTTGTGTGAATTCGTGTTAGCGTGACAGTGTGTTTTGTGAACTTGTGTTAGCCTGACAGTGTGTTGTGTTAACTCATTTTAGCGTGACAGTGTGTTGTGTGTTTGCACAACAGCGTGTTGTGAGAACTTGTGTTTGTGAGACAGCGTGTTGTGTAAACTCATGTTAGCAAGACAGTGTTTTGTGTGAACTCATGTTAGAGTGACAGTGTGTTGTGTAAACTTTTGTTAGCATGACAGTGTGTTGTGTGTTAACACAACAGGGTGTGGTGCAAACTTGTGTTAGCAAGACAGCGTGTTGAGTAAACTTATGTTAGCATGACAGTGTGATGTGTGAACTCATGTAAGCAAGACAGCGTGTTGTGTGAACCTGTGTTAGCGAGACAGTGTGTTGTGTGAACTCGTGTTAGCGAGACAGTGTGTTGTGAGAACTCGTGTTAGCGAGACAGTGTGTTGTGTGAACTCGTATTAGCGAGACAGCGTGTTGTGTAAACTCTTGTTAGCGAGACAGCGTGTTGTGTGAACTCGTATTAGCGAGACAGTGTGTTGTGTGAACTCATATTAGCGAGACAGCGTGTTGTGTAAACTCGTGTTAGCGAGACAGTGTGTTGTGTGAACTCGTGTTAGTGAGACAGTGTGTTGTGTGAACTCGTATTAGTGAGACAGCGTGTTGTGTAAACTCGTGTTAGCGAGACAGCATATTGTTTGAACTCAAGTTAGTGAGACAACATGTTGTGTGAACTCATGGCATGACAGTGTGTTGTGTGAACTCGTGTTAACTAGACAGAATTTTGTGTGTTAGCGCAACAGCGTGTGGTGTGAACTTGTGTTAGTGCGAAAGTGTTTTTCAGTGTTGTGATGGCGATCTGTGTGTTAGCCTAACGGCGTCTTGTGTGTCGGTAAGATAGCACAGTTTTATAAAAGCGTTGTTGAGCTTTAGCAAGTGGCCCTATCCGGACACCATAGCCTTATTATAATTGATCAGTTCACAGGTATACAGTGAATTATTATTGTCGCCATTAAATCAGCATTTACAGTTGCAATGACCTAATTAAAAGATATTTATTCCCTTAAGGAGGAATTCCACACCAACTTTTTATTTTATAGATCTCTGAGTCAGCCTTTTTTAAACAATGGTTTCAGCATTGAAAAGCTGACATTAGCTCTTGATTATTTTATATGATTTTTTAGCTCACTTGAGTTTAATTTTGACATGGTTAGGTCGAAATATTATAAAAATCAATTTCTCTAAAATTTCTCAATTTCATTTCAACTTTTTTTATAATATGATTGACAAACATCTTCTCCTCAAATGTGACTAGTTTTATGGTGTTTTAACCATAGGTGTAAAAAATATTCACAAAATTAATACTGTGTTTTATTTTCATAAATAGTTTTTTATTAAAAAAAAAATGTAAACTCACACCAGCCTTTCTTTACATATTTTATTAGATATTCATAAGATGCATTCATTTACAGAAAAATTTTAACTCAAAAACATCTTATCTGGATTTAAATTTTTTTGTTACATTTTATTTGAAAAAATACAAAAAAATAATATGAAATATTAATTGAGAGGTAACTAATATTGGCCTTTTAATGTTGAAACCATTGTCGAAAAAGAATGACGCAAAAATCTATAAAATAAGAAGTTGGTTTGGCATTTCCCCTTAATCAATTGGTATTTTTCAGTTTCATTAATGCTAACTACATGAACTTAATTACTATGTGCATATTTAAAAAATATGTATACCAATATATTATTTAAAAGTACATTATTATAAAATATTGGTTTGCCGGTTATCATGGTTATAAAAATTATGGTGTCCCAATGACGTGAAGTTGCAATGTGCTAGCATGTTGTTTTCAACAGGCTGCCACCCATGCAAACACAACTTTAAACAATCTATAATTGTGTGTTAGCTTGATGGCTTGTTGGAAACAGTGTGCCGGCATATTGTTACTGACATACGTGCTAGCACATTGTCACCTTGTGCTAGCATGTTGTCATAAACGCACTACCACATTATCATAAACCCACTAGTGCATTATTACTTTGCACTAGTATGTTGTCTTAAAAGGGCTAGCATGAATGACTGCCTGAATTAGTGTTAACTTCTTTTAATTGATGAAAAAGTACTTTTACAAATTATACACAGAAAATGTGACAATATCTTAGAACTCAATTTGATAGTCTATGATTATCTTATGAATTGACTTTTTATTAGTCAAAGAATTATAAATTAAAAAAATTTCAATTTCTTTTGGATAGGTGTGACTCATCTGAATTCTGAAATTTGATACAAAGCATGACCATGATTTGCCAGAAGAGCATCTGTTTGGATGTGACAAGAAATAAACAGCATAGTGAAATTAAGTCAAGTTTTGGTTCGTGAAGACAACTTTTAAATACACAGTATATCATTTTTAAATTTTGATTTGACAACATAAATCCACAAATATGAACATATCAATTGCTCTCAGTTTTTCAAATGAAATAGATTTTGTAACAAAAATACATGTAATTACATTGGATTTGGAATAAATGTTATTTTTAAATATAATATTTTGTTTGTGTTGCATGTTGACCTCTTTATTAAGGTCTTCCATTTTGAAGTTTAGACTTACTTATTCTAATGGTTAAGATAAAGATCCTCTCATCTTCAGCAGCAATATATCTTATAATACATGTGTGTGTATTTTTACAGTATAATGTAAGAAATTTGCTATTTTGGCACATACAACTAAGGCATAAACATGTGTATGATACCAAGGAATTCAGAACAGAGGACATGTACATGTAGTTTTCAAATACAATATTGAAGAGATGTCCAGTCGCATTTCAAAGTCAATAAAGCACCAAATCTGCAAAGCAGTGCCTGTTGCATACTTATTAGCCCATCTGAGCGAAAGGCACAAGTAAATTAAAAAAAAATTATCCGTTATCATCGTCTAAAATTTCACAATTTCATTTTCCAGAGCCAAAGTAAAACTTGGCAAATTATTCTTAAGAAAAAAATCTTTAATATTGAAATGTAAAAACTGCAAATTGATTTTTGAAATTAAGACAATAATATTAATTTTTTTACGTTTTTAAAGCCAGTTGTTATTTACCTGGAATAAAAGAAATCACTTGATAAAAAAGTCTGAGTTATATTGAAATAAAAAAAATTATTAATCCACATATCCGTCGTGCATGTGAACAGGCATTTACCGCGATCGGAGTGGGTTTTTTTGTTATCCAAAATATTCCATATTTTTTATTCTTGGGCATCCTTTAGTATAGGGGATTCAAATTGTTCTTATGTAGGGCAATACTTTCAAAGAGATTTGTTTCTTTAATCCTGTAAATATATTATATTTAGCGTGTACTATATTTGGCGGAAATTGACTTCTAAATAAGTTAACGTAAATTTGATTTAGAGCATTTCTTAATATTCTTATTTATGTGTTTATGTACAAGACATTTAGCTTTGTACTTGATTTAGCGGTTGCTGCATTCCACCAAAGATGCTAAAAAAAAAAGAATACACAGCCATATGTTATATGTTTACAGTATACATGTACCTTTCAGAGAATTTTACACTCCTATTGAGGTACCACTACTTGCCCGTGGAAAGCTGCAAATTCGTAACATACAAAACACAATCCTGTGCGTTTCTTGTAAAAGAATTGTTCTACTTACTGATTGTCAAACAATGGAGATTGTTCATCATTATTATAAACACATTTGGATTATTTAATTTAATTCGTGTAATTTTTTTACCTAGTTAAATATTGTATATCAAATGTTTTTAAAGCCATTTTTAAGATGGTAATGTAGCAAAACACCTATGTTTCTGTAGTATGACACGTTTCACTAACATGATTGCAACAAAGATGCTATATCCGATATCAAAATTCAAAATATTGGAAGTTTAACTGTTGTGGGTACAATTTCAAGAATGCTGTTAGAGAGAGTACCATTAGACCTCATGTTCACACCGATTTAAAGAATTCAAGTAAGGGTTTTTGGGACAAAAAAAAGAGAACGTTAGCAAAGTTGACAATCTAAAAAAGAAACATTTAATCTTTTGCTTATAGCTAAGAAGGAAGACCCACTCGTTGCTTTGCAATGAGCTTTGCTCTAGTTCCTTAAATATTTCAACTGTGAATGAGTATATACAGTACAGGCAACGCGGATCCCGTATTTCCCGCGCCCCGTTGCGGTTTAATCACAACGCGGTATTTGGCCAGGTGAGACAGGTAAACCGCGTTCCATCCGCGGGAAATTCATCACCTACCTGTCCCCGCCGCGGTTAAATCAGCGATCAATCACTGACAATTAGTATCGTAAACAAACGGGAGTTATCTCCCCAAATTCTAATTTGCAACTTTTCCCTGTAACGAAAAAAAAGGACACTGTGTGTTTATTTATAAAAGTATTTTCATTTATTTTGCTATGAATAGAATTTAAACTAAGAAAAAAAATAGGTTTATTTTTGTTTCTAAAATTACATATCAATCTTTTAAATTGAATAGAAAATTTTATTAAATGGTTACGTCATTGCAATCGGTTAATTATTTTGTGTTATTAAGAGTCCATCAAGAAACAAAATTAAATACTAGAAATTTTAATTAGTTTTTTTTTTTAAATCTTCATATTATATGCGAACTGTAATAAATGCTGAACTCAGACTGTTTCGATAAATGATTTTCAGCATTCATTTGTTTATATTCATTAACCAAATAAAGAACCCTTAATTTAATTAATTTCGCTTTATTGTATATTAAATGTGCAGGCATTTTTCTTAAAGTGTTAAATTATCGGAAAACATTCGATGGTGAGAGTTTGCAGTTACATGTAGTGGGCACGTAAACTTAAAATTTCTTTATCCAAGATATCAAGAAAAAAAATTCTTTTCTTCTATATTTCTCATCGTTTATGCTCTTTTCCCAAATTAAGAACACTTTTCTTAAATTTATTTCCCTCTTTTATATAAATGTGCAGGCATTTTTCTAAAAGGGTCAAATAACCGGAAAGCATTCGATGGCGAGAGTTAACTTTGGACACATGAACTTTATACAAGAGATCAAGAAAAAATATCGCTTCTTCACCTTCATATTGACATGTGTTACTTTTGTAAACAATGTCTTTCTTTTTAATTTTAATTTTAATATTTCTCGATTTTCATGTTCAAAAGATAAGATAGGATGTGCAGGTATGATCATAAACTTCACGGAAGAAATTGAATTAAAGGGGGAGGGGGTATTACACTTAAATTTTTAATAACTATTCAATGCAAAAAATGAAATACTTTCGTTTGCTTTGACAAATTCTGTTTCTTTGTGTATTAAGTATTAGCCGCGATCATTTCCTGTGTATAGGTATTAGCAGTGCCAGAGCAGGAAACGGCATGCCCTGGGGGTTTCACACCTGTGTTCGAGTACCTTGGGTAACGCTCGCTGAATGTGCACATCGTTGTCTAGCCATTCAACACAACATTTGATTCAATGTTTCATTATTATTTCATCGATATCATTTTCAAATGCGATAATAGTCTTGAAATTTGTGTCAATGTATTGTTGCTTTTTTAAACGGAGTGTATAAAGAGAATAAAAGTACAAAAAACTAGAGCCGAGCTCGTTGCAAAGCAACGAGTAGGTCTTCCGTCCTGTTTGACCGGAAGTTACTTTTATTAAAAAAAAAAGAAAGAAAAGAAAAATGACGTCTCTAATAATTTAAATCTTCCAAATCTATGTAGATAATTGCAAAGTAAGCAATTTTTGCTACTTCCTGTTCGACCGGAAGTGACGTCGACGGACGGAAAATTAAGTTTTATACTTCCAGTGACAAATATTTCCCAAAAACGTGTCAAAAACGGCAAAAATATGCATTTTCTGACTACTTCCGGTTTGGCCGGTAGTGACATAACAGGACGTATTTTGATGATCTCAATAGAATTTACTAAAGATTTTGAACAACTTTGCCTCTTTGATGTTTGACAAATTCTTAAAATTATTTGAGATATCCGAAAAGAAACTTTTTGGCCCTCTAGATTCCTTAATTTAGGGGACAGTCCTTTTTCTGAGATATCATTAGAAAGATTTTGTAATTCTGCACAAATTTTGTTCTATATGTTTTAACAAAATATATTTAGTTTAGAAGATAAAAAGGAAAATATGTGTAAATTTTCGCTCTTTTAGGCGTTCTAATTTTTGACCCCTATATAGCGCCATTTTGAATAGAGAAATCGAAAAACAAAAACCGATGTGCACAACTTCAATCTTTCTATTATCTAAAATCAGTAAAATTTCTGTTCCAGTCTTTGTGGTCTCTGAACCTTTATCTGGAAATGAAAGCCTATAAATTTTCGTTTAAAGGGAAATAACTCAAAACTGGAAGTGAATTTTTGAAATATTAGACAACATTTTAATAGAGTTTAGTAACGTCTATAAACTCTGAAATTTTTAGCGAAATCTATTGAGAAATGAGTGAGATATGAGGCTTCAAAGCTGGCGTCTAGCAAGTAGAAGAAACTAGAGCAAAGCTCGTTGCAAAGCAACGAGTAGGTCTTCCGTCCTGTTTCGACCGGAAGTGACGTCAACAAAAAAAACAATGAGCTAAGTCGTCTCCAGTCACTTTATAATTTCAATTTTGCATCAAAACCTTAAAAAATAAGCTATTTTTGGCTTTTTCCGGTTTGACCGGAAGTGATGTCGACGGACAGAAAATTAAGTTTTATGCTTCCAGTGACATATGTTACCCAAAAACTTGTCAAGAACGGCAAAAATATGCATTTTCTGGCGACTTCCGGTTTGACCGGAAGTGACGTCGCCGGACGCATTTTGACGACTTCAATAGATTAAACTTGACATTTTGAACACCTTTGCTTCTTAGACGTATTATAAATTCTCAATACTATTTGAGATATCTAGATAAAAAATTTGGCCCCTCTAGATCCCTTAACTTAGGGTTCAGCCCTTTTTTCGAGATATCATTTGAAAGATCTTGTAATTCTGCACAAATTTTGTTCTATATGTTTTAACAAAATATTTTTAGTTTAGAAGATAAAAAGCAAAATATGTGTAAATTTTCTCTCTTTTAGGCGTTCTAATTTTTGACCCCTATATAGCACCATTTTCAATAGAGAAATCGAAAAACAAAAACCGCTATCCACAACTTCAATTCTACTATTGTGTAAAATCAGTAAAATTTCTGCTCCAGCTTTTGCCATCTCCGAGCCTTTGTCCGGAAATGAAAGCCTATAAATTTTCGTTTAAAGGGAAATAACTCAAAACCGGAAGAGAATTTTTGGAGTGCTAGACAAAATTCTGATAGAGTTTAGTAACGTTTATAAACTCTGAAAATTTGAGCAAAATCCATTGAGAAATGAGTGAAATATGAGGCCTCAAAGTTGGCGTCTAGGAGAAGGAAAAAAAAAAAGAATAATAAGAATAATCTTAATCATCAGAATCAGTAGAAGGTCTTCCGTTGGAAACGGAAGACCTTAAAAAAAAGAATAATAATCTTTACCAACAGAATCAGTAGAAAGTCTTCCGTTGGAAACGGAAGACCTTAAAAACCAAACTTT